GGCGCCAGCCACGGCAGCTATCGCCGCAGATCCCAACTTTGCGGCGGCTCTGGCGGCGGCTATCACGTCGATCATAAACGGGTCGGGTCATCAACCGAATAGCGGCGGCGGCAACAGCAATAATAATAACAGCAATAATGTCGCCACGACGAGCAATGGTGACACGAGATAATGAGAGTTTTCTTGTCCTCTGTCTTTTCTCGTCAAATAATTTTCTTGGTTGGTCCGTCGATTTATTCTTTCGAATCTTTTTTCAAGCTTTCTTAATGTAATTACGCTTTTGGGTATGCTTTTGGTATCCGAAGAACAATGGTGTTATGAACATATTTTTTTTTCTCTTTTTTTTTTTGTTGTTGTCGCGTCATACATTGCAGAAGACGAATGATCATAGCTTATCTCTGATTTTTTTTTTTTGCTGCAAATTTATAAAAACTTTTAAATTGTCATTAAAATTACTATGGGTCACCGATTTTTTATGTACAATCACCGATTTTTTATTGTAAATTCTCAAATTATTACGGGTCAAAGTATAAATCATGTATAATAACGGGGTAGAGTTCAAAAAGTGAAGAGTTTCTGAAACGGCTTTGCTTATCTCTGTACGTATAGGTTCATAAACGTGAAGGGTTCGCTTGCGTGTGGCACATCAAAAGCAATTATTTTTCTATTTGTAGCAAAAAAAATAATTTATCGATCAACTTACAATAATAGTAAATAAGGAAAAATGCCAAAAAAAATATAGAACTTTAATTAATATCAATGTCATAGTTATCTATAATTTTTTTTGCATTTTCCTACTAAACAATCATTATTATTCCGAAAAATTCTATATTTTCTGTAAAATATACCTAGTTTAAAGTATAGGGGTGAAAGTGAAAATCATTGATAATACGGGGGTGAAGAGTTTGCTGAGCTGTCGGGCCCACATGGGTGTAATCAACGTGAAGCTTGGCTTCTCCTACAACCCAAAGTTAATGTCAGTCCATTTCCATCCAAAAAATTTCAATCAATTAATAAATTATAGTTACACAAAAATATAATATAATATACTTTGGTTTTCACGTAAAGTTTGCCATTAAGATGGTATGTCATTTAACTAGATAACATTTAAAATCGTTTAGGAGTCTAAACACAATAACTTCAATGAAAATAGAATAACTATGTGACTAATGGACTAACTCAAAACAATGTAAACTATTAAGAATCCATTGTAAAATATTTTATTTCAAATTTATAATGGTATTGTCGACACAATAAATATTTGATTATTTCCTTACACATATTGGATAAAAAACACCACCAATAACATGTTAAAAATATAAAAAAAATATTTGTTGAGTTTTACAGGGTACACGCGATAAAGTTAGTATTGATTTTTATTAATTTTGTATAAATTAATTAAAATTAATCTATAAAAATGAAAACGTGGAATCCAATGTTAAGAGCAACACATATATATATATATATATATATATATATGAATCTACCACTAGTGATTTTCCTACTGTACGACAGTTTTAAAAAATAAGTAAAGAGGTTATTAAAATGGGATCAAAAGGCCAAAGTGGGGGAGTAAAATATCCTTAAATTAAAAATATGGGGGTCAAAATGTAAATACGATATAGAAATAGGACAAAGGGGATAATACCGAAAAGTTTGGAAGTTGTGGGGCCCAGGGACGGTGTTATCAAACGTGACGCGTTGCTTATGCGGCACACATCAAAGAAGTGAATCTCTCTCATTTTGCAACGTTCAAGTAATCATTTATTTAATTTTGATTCTTATTTGAGTTAATTAATTAATTAATTAATCAACACGACTAAACAAGCAAAATAGAGCAAGATTAACGCCATTGCTTAATCACCTTCTGCGTGTATAAATAAATCCCTAATCCCTTCGTCTTCGTCTTCATCGTGTCTCGTCAACTGGGTTTCTCCCCCTTGTAAATCTTCACCCTCATTCGTTTCGGTGAGTTCCTTTTATATATTTATTTTTGGTGGAAATAAAGAGAGAAAATTTAGCTTTTTTTAAATAAAAAAAATTGGGGGGTAAATGCCATTTCCTCTGATATTAGTTTTTTTCTCCATGGAAGCAAAGATTTCCCCAGTTTTGTTTGTTCCTTGCGATGCTTTCTGGAATTTGTTCGGAGCATTTCCCATAAATGGATGGCATTTCTGGGCTTTCGAATTTGAGATCATATCTGCTTGAAAATGCATATAAAAAAATTGTAACTTTATTCGTAGTTTCTTATGGGGAATAAGAATATTTGGCTTCTCGAATTGTAGATTCCTTCTAGGGTTTGGTGTTGTTTTCGGAGATACGAGGTTTTAGGACAATCTGGGCTTTGATCATATGAATGAACGAATGGGGACAACGGTGAAAGGAAAGAATTTGACCCCCATTGTAATTATCTGTGTGGGGCTCGTTTATGATTTGACCTTTTTATTTTTTTCCCGGAAAATTCAGACATTTTTTAAGGAAAACTCATAGTTTAGCTTTTCTTAAAAAAGTCATCGAATTTGACTGTTCGAAATCTCTGCCCTGAAGTTGGAAACTGGGTTTGGATCATCGGAGTTCCATGCTTTCGTCTGATTTATGACATTTTTTCCCCCTTTTACCCTCTTTTCTCGGCTTGAAGTTTCAGCGACAGTGTAGTTTCTTGTCTAGAAAATTATAACAGAGCATGTATTTTTTTTTCTTCGTCAGTCATTTTTTCATTTCTTTTGATTCGAAGAAGACGATGATATCAGACAGAGAATCAGTCCCGTCTTTTGTCGATTTGGTCGAAAGTGATGAACTGGAAGATCGAAGTGATCCGACTTTTCTGCTTCCGTTTCTCTCTCCCAAAATGATTATTTCATGTTTGGTTCTGAATCGTCCTGTGTTATGTTTAAGGATTAGCTTTGAGATCTTTTTTTGCAATTCCATAAACTTAAAGCCAAAGAGACAGAACACAAAACATGTCTCCTTGCCTGCTTTTTCTTGTATCTTGTTATCTAAACCAATCTTTGTTCGTACTGAAACGATTGTTTCTTGAGTTCGTACTCAAGTTTTAAAGTGCTGGACTTCGATATTTTGGTATAAATACCTCTCAGGATCGATCGGCCTCGGCTTCCTGTTACCTGGTTTATGATCTACTAAATCATCTTCTTGACGAATCTTGATTAGCATTGTGGCTCAGCTCGCGGGCTGATTCGTATCCTAACATCTTTATCCCGGCTTTCGATTTGTAAAAAATGGTGAATGATCAATGACAGGTTGAGATGGGAACCCCTCTTCGATTTCTGCTGCTTCCTCTGTTGGTATCGTCGGTTTTTATATCCTTGGCCTCGTGCGAGGAAAGCGACGATGGAATCTTGAGAATCGGATTGAGGAAGATCAGACAGGACTGGAATAACGGGCTGGCCGCCCGGCTTGGTTCGAAGAACAGGGCACCTCCTCTTGAAGGTTATCGCCCAAGCAATGGAGATTCCGGAATTATCGCGCTGAAAAACTACTTGGATGCTCAATACTATGGTGAGATTGCCATTGGTACCCCGCCTCAGAAGTTTACAGTGATCTTTGATACTGGAAGCTCTAATCTATGGGTACCCTCTTCTAAATGCTACTTCTCGGTAAGTTTATACGAAACATACTATGCTATTTTATCATAAAACCGAGATAATCGAAAAGAGAATCAACTTTTGACTGTTTAATGTTGTCTAGATTGCGTGTTTCTTCCACTCGAAGTACAAGTCCAGCGAGTCGGAGACATACCAAAAGAACGGTTAGTTCTCTCTGCTCGTCTCGTCGTGGAATATCGATATGAAACTTTTTTTTATATACTGATTGAACGTCTCCTTCACAAATATGATTCTTGAACTTCAGTGTTCTTGATTGATTCTTCGATATATGATTTTAAATCTGATGTTGGACCGTGAAAATTCGCAGGAAAACCTGCTTCAATTCGGTATGGGACTGGCGCTATCTCCGGTTTCTTTAGCAATGATGACATTACAGTCGGTAACTTGGTTGTCAAGAACGAGGTAAAGCCCTAAACCCGATTCATCCATCCATTCGTACGCCAATGATTCTCGAATTCCATGGTTTCTTACAACCATACACGCGTTTTTTTTTGTGCATTTCAACCGTGTCTTACTTGCACGTCTTAATCACGGGTAGGAGTTCATAGAGGCAACAAGCGAGCCCGGCATCACGTTCATGATGGCAAAGTTTGACGGTATCCTCGGGTTAGGATTCCAAGAGATTTCCGTCGGGAATGCAACTCCAGTTTGGTATGCAACTTTATATTTCTTGCTGCTATTTTTGCTCGGTTAAAATAGCTGAATCTTGGCTGCAAATAAACTTGAGATTAAGGCGCTGTTGTTGTTACAAAAGCTGTCTTGACCCGAGGATTTGAATGTTGCATTAGGTATAACATGGTAAACCAAGGTCTGGTTAAGGAGCCGGTTTTCTCGTTCTGGTTGAACCGAAACACAATTGACAAAGAAGGCGGTGAGATTGTCTTTGGAGGCGTCGATCCGAAGCATTTCACAGGGCAGCACACTTACGTTCCCGTCACTCAGAGAGGTTACTGGCAGGTCGGTTTTAGGCTTTAGCTCTTTCGTTTCCGCATCTTCCATTTTCGACCCTCGGCCTTGACGTTTAATTTCCGTCGACATTCTGATAAAATCCGAAAACATGTTTCTTTGTGTGACAGTTCGACATGGGTGATGTCCTCATCGATGGCAAACCGACTGGTTTGTAAAAGCTCTTATGGTTTTGCTTTGGTTTCATTGCTGGAGATTTCATGTCTGAGATTTCGCATTTTCATGAAGAGAAAAGGAAAAAGATCGAAACTTTTTTTTTGTCATTCAGGATACTGTGGCAAAGGTTGCTCCGCCATTGCTGACTCAGGAACTTCTCTGTTGACGGGTCCGACGGTAAAGAAAGATTTTCCCTTTTTTCGGAGTTCTTGAATGGTGTTTTGATCTGTTTTGCCTCTGAGAAAAAACCCGATTTGACGACGAAATTTCGGAATAGACGATCATCGCGATGATCAATCAAGCTATCGGAGCGGAGGGAGTCGTCAGCCACGAGTGTAAGACGGTCGTGGATCAGTACGGGAAAACCATCCTGAAATTGCTTCAGGCCGAGGTGAATGAATCCACTTCCTTTGGTTTACAGTGCCGCTCCGACGAAAGGGATGAACATAACGGTTCATCGGAATATTACACGTGAATTAGATGTCGCCTCGATTTGTTGATTTTGCAGGTACACCCGTCGAAGGTTTGCTTCGAGATGGATCTCTGCCTTTTTGATGGCACACGCAGTGTAAGGTCAGTAACCCGCATTTCGTTTTCTCGAAAGTGGCGGTCGAGGTTGCGTAGTTTCGAACAGTTCGATATCTCGTACGATAACCGGGATAGCGTAAAAACCGATGTGAACTTGAACCATTTTCATGTTATGGTGAAGTCCGGACATTGAGATGGTCGTGGACAAGAACAAGGACAGAAAATCCGGCGGTAAGAAAGGAGCGATGTGCACGGCATGTGAGATGGCGGTTGTCTGGATCCGACACCAGTTGAAACAGAACCACACCGCAGAACGTATTCTCAACTACGCTGATCAGGTGACTCTCCAAACCGAGTAGCACATCACCCGAAACCAGCATGGATATTTCGGTTTGGTACGGTTTGGTTATTCGGTTATTAACCAAATTGCCCACACTACCCGAAACTAAATCGACGTCTTTCGGTAGCAATTCAACTCAAAACATTTTCCGGGTCTTTCTTGTCCGTCGTCTTTTTTAGCTTTGCAGCCGGATTCCGACCGCAAACCTACCGTCGGCGGTGGACTGCGGGAAGATCCCGACGATGCCTACCGTCTCATTCACGATCGGCGGAAAAGCCTTCGATCTCTCCCCGCAACATGTACCTTGCTCTCATCCATGTTTTTTTTCCTCGAGCCGGGAATCCTTTATCGGGTACTGATATCTATATTCGCTTGCGTGTGGCACATCAAAAGCAATTATTTTTCTATTTGTAGCAAAAAAAATAATTTATCGATCAACTTACAATAATAGTAAATAAGGAAAAATGCCAAAAAAAATATAGAACTTTAATTAATATCAATGTCATAGTTATCTATAATTTTTTTTGCATTTTCCTACTAAACAATCATTATTATTCCGAAAAATTCTATATTTTCTGTAAAATATACCTAGTTTAAAGTATAGGGGTGAAAGTGAAAATCATTGATAATACGGGGGTGAAGAGTTTGCTGAGCTGTCGGGCCCACATGGGTGTAATCAACGTGAAGCTTGGCTTCTCCTACAACCCAAAGTTAATGTCAGTCCATTTCCATCCAAAAAATTTCAATCAATTAATAAATTATAGTTACACAAAAATATAATATAATATACTTTGGTTTTCACGTAAAGTTTGCCATTAAGATGGTATGTCATTTAACTAGATAACATTTAAAATCGTTTAGGAGTCTAAACACAATAACTTCAATGAAAATAGAATAACTATGTGACTAATGGACTAACTCAAAACAATGTAAACTATTAAGAATCCATTGTAAAATATTTTATTTCAAATTTATAATGGTATTGTCGACACAATAAATATTTGATTATTTCCTTACACATATTGGATAAAAAACACCACCAATAACATGTTAAAAATATAAAAAAAATATTTGTTGAGTTTTACAGGGTACACGCGATAAAGTTAGTATTGATTTTTATTAATTTTGTATAAATTAATTAAAATTAATCTATAAAAATGAAAACGTGGAATCCAATGTTAAGAGCAACATATATATATATATATATATATATATATTTGTGTGTTGGATCAGTACATATTCAAGGTAGGGGAAGGAGCGGAGGCGCAGTGTACCAGTGGATTCACCGCCATGGATATCCCTCCACCACATGGACCTCTCTGGTAAATAATATGAATCCAAATATATTATATGTCACATTGTATCATTAGTACGTATCCGTATATTATATTGTATTGTATATTGTATGATTGCAGGATACTGGGTGATATATTCATGGGACCGTATCATACGGTGTTCGATTACGGGAAAGCCAGAGTTGGGTTTGCCAAAGCAGCTTAAAAAGACCAGACGCAACATATATATATATATCACTGTTTCATCATTTGCTTTTGTGTCGGCATTTGTATAAACTCTTGTCCATGAATCTCCTGCAAATTCCGTCTTTACAGCAAAGATTCAATAAAAAAAATGATTCAGAAGATTCCCTTGGAATTTACGAGCGAATTTCGGGCATTTGAATTTTGGATTTCGAATTTTATCCTCCATTCGAATTTCGGATTCCCTATTTGATCCCAAAAATTACACAAAGACAATCTAGATTTCGATAATTGAGTTCGGGATCGGGTATTACCCGCAGATATTTGAGTAAATTGTAAATGATACTTTTACCAAAAATATATTACATATAAATCTATTTAAATGTTGAATTTGAATTTGGTTAATTAGAAATTTTCGGATATCTGACCCAAACCAATTCATATACGATACCTATTTTGTAAAAATTCGCTATTTCATATGTGAAATCGGGTTGGTAACACGAATATTTAAAAATTAATTTGGATATCCAATCAAAATAGATTCGATATCAAATATAGAGATACTTAAATTCGATTTCAGATAAGCCAAAAATTTTAGATATCCGATCTATATCTATTCCTAGCCATAACAATTGTGAGATGAAATCGTCTTTTCAGTTTTCATTGCCTGAAAAAAAAAAAAAGAAGATCAGATACTAAACCAAACCGAATCGCACCACAAGTCCACAATTCTAGGACAAGACCGAACCGGATCGTCCCCAATACCAAACCTCGCTAAACCGGTTCGGTTAATATAGTGGTTTTTGAAAACCGAGTACTAAACGATCACAAGATGTATACACGTAAAATAGAATTCACACTTGATTTCATGAATCCGAGATTTTATTTACATATTTGGACAGTCTGAAATAAGATGTTGACATCTCTTTAATCTTTCGTCCATTATGAAATTGAGTTACGTACATTTCTTGAATTTATGCAATTCTAGTAACATTTATATGTCACGGCTCACGATTTCACAAACGAAATGAAATAAACGTGTAGCCCTTTTTTGCCCATTACATTGTTCATACATAAATGGACCGACCGATGAATGCTTGATCAATTAATTACATGGACGGACGATTGTGTTATTGTTCGCCCATTACATTTTACATGTATGTTGGTATATTTTTTTTACACGATTAAGAAATTTAGTAAGGAATTTTAATATTTCGATAGATATTTACGTAATCCGTCCACGCATCATGCATCTCTAAACCTCACAAGTTATTTTTATATTTTAGTTTTTTTTTTAATATTTATATCAATTCTATCGCATTCGCATGTGTATTTTTAACAGAGCAAAATAAAATAAAAAAACGAAGTATCTTTAATTTTGTATTGTTTATAATTAGATAAGATTATCGCATAAAAAAACATTACATAATGAACAATGTTAATATAATACACAAGAAATGTTTTATACGTTGGGAACACTCATTCATCTATGTAATGTGTAACCAGATTTTCATATGAATTCCAAAGTCTAATTGATTACTTTTTAATCTATTTCCTTCCCCGTAAAAAAAAACCCATTTAATCTATTTACTTTTAAATCTATATTTACCACCAATGTAAATAGATTTTCTTTGCTGAACTAAAACATAAACACAAGTATGAACATTGTTCCAAAGAGAGAGGAAGTGATCCAAAAATGTTGGGAGTTGGGTTTTATTTACTGATTCCAATTCCAAACATAAGACCGACCACCGCATAGGAATTCCTCAAAAACTCAAACAACATTCATCATAAGTGGCATTGAAACAGCCAACTGGTCAACCTCTCCAGCTTGGTCAAACATGTTCTATTTGGTCAAATGGTTTTCCTATCTCTCTCTCTCTCTCTATATATATATATATGTGTTATATGTGTGTATATGTATCTCACCTGCTGCCAACCAACACGTACTAACCATAAAACTGCCAAAGGAAAACACAGAAAATCTAATCAACCCACCAAAAAAAAAATTATTAAAAATTATTCAAGTGCTGTTTCTGATATTATGGCTTCATTGCAAGCTTCAAGATTGTTGCTTTCGTCTTCTTGTCCTTCCACGAGGATGAGAGCTGCTTTCTCCGTTCCTATATTGTCTAAACTTAGCGTCTCGGTTCCGAAAATACCGACCATGAATCAGAATCTGGTCAAGGAATCGAGATTCGAGTTGGACGAGCTCACGGCTGTTCTTCCGTTGGTCCAGAAACCGGGGAGAGCCTCTGATTCTGTCCAAAGGTCGCGCCTTTACGCGGTGCTGGAGGAAGTTATAGACAGGATAGAGATGCACAGAAACATCGGAGAGCAACGCAACAACTGGAACTCCCTCATGCTCGGTTCCATCAACACCATCACTCTGACAGGCGCTTTAATGGCGGGAATGGCGTCCGGCGGAGGAGGAGATTCTGTCATGGCCATGAAAATGGCTTCGACGGTTTTGTTGGCCTCGGCTACGAGTATGGTCGCCATGATGAACAAGATTCAGCCATCTCAGCTGGTGGAAGAACAGCGTAACGCCACGAGGCTTTTCACTCAGCTCAGATTCAGAATCGAGAGCGTTCTGATGAGAGAAGAGACAGAAGTTGGAGAAGATGAAGTGAAGGAAGCGATGGAGAGAGTGCTGTGTATAGACAGAGCTTACCCTCTTCCCCTCCTCGGAGCAATGCTCGAGAAATTCCCGAAAGAGTTCAAACCCTCCATCTGGTGGCCTCAAAACAATCGAAAAAAGGCCCAAACCCGCTCTGTAAATCGATCAAAGATAGAAAATGGATGGAGTAAAGAGCTGGAGATGGAGATGGAAGAGGTGATGGAGGTGGTGAAGAGGAGAGATTCGGAGGAATACAAGAACCTTGGTGACAAAGCGTTGAGGCTAAACCGGGTCTTGGCCATGTCCGGACCGGTTTTGACCGGAGTTTCCGCCATAGCCTCAGCTTTTATCGGTCACGGTTCGTGTTGGGCAGGAGTTGCAGCCACGACGTTAGCTGCGTTAGGATCGGCGGTGAACGCGTTAGAGCATGGTGGCCAAGTGGGGATGGTGTTTGAGATGTACAGAAACAGTGCCGGATTCTTTTCTGAGCTGGAAGATTCGATCAGATCCACCATCGGAGAATCTGAAACGGGGAAGAGAGAGAACGGCGAAGTGTTCGAGACGAAGATCGCGTTGAAGCTCGGGAGGAGCTTGTCTGAGCTGAGAGATCTCGCGAGAAAATCGGGTTCCTCTCGTGTTGAAGGATCCGCCATTGATGAGTTCGCGAGCAAGCTTTTCTAGTGACAACAACGTATAACAGGAGAGAGAGAGACAACAACGTTAAATCTGTACATGATTCATTCATTCTTTGATAGATCATATTCGTGGTGACAGCAGCTTCGCACCAATACTTTTGTAATGGGCCAATCGTATTCATTCGGCCCATTTAATATAAGATTATTTAACAAATACTAGGACTGGGCGTTTCGGTTCGGTTCTCCGGAACCGGACCGAACCGAACCATTAAAACCGTATTTTTCCCGACCCGAAACCGCTGTTATTTTCCGAACGGTACCATTTTTAGAGAACCGAATTTTTCCGGAATCGAACCGAACCGAACTTTAAAAATCTATCATTTTTTTAATAAAACCCGGAACCGAACCAATACCGAACCGAACCGAATACAATAAAAAAACCCGATTGGTACCTATTTTTGTAAAATCGAAAGAAACGAATCGATTTATTCTGTTCCGAACCCGAACCGTTTTCCGAAACGTCCACCCCTAACAAATACAAATACTGTGTATTACCATCTTAAGACGAGTTATTTTTTAAAAATAAGTATGATTGTTACAAAATAATTCATACTTATTTAAGTACAATCTATTTGTCATCTAGTTAAAAATCCTAAACTAGTATACCTTTTTTTAAAAAATAAAAATCTATACTTTAAAATCATCATAAAAAATCGTAACATAATATATACTTAAAAAAAACTCTACACCTTAATATATCATAAAAAAATCTTAAACTGTTATATTTGCACAAAAAAAATCTTAAACTATACACTTATAATACACTCATCGCATAAAATCATTAATTTATCTTTTTCTAGTGAAAAATCACAAATTTCTTTAATTAAACAAATTAATTATGGAATAAATAATTAATAGTTTCATATACAATGAGTGAAAAGATATTAAGTGTCAATATATTAACATAATCATCTATAAATAAATAACAAGTCTATCCTGTATAAGTTCAATTAAAAGTTTTTTATTATAAGTTTTATATTTAATTCAAATAAAACCATAAATTCAGTGGTTTAATTATTTAAGTTATTATTGTTATTTATTTATTTTCTTCTCAGATACTGTATAAAATAAAAAGGAAAATAAGTTTTGTGTTTTTATTGAAAATATTAAAAAACAAATTAGATGGTAAAATTTAAAACAAAACAAATATAATAAATAATTCAGATGTATTTGGAAGTATTCAAAATTTATTTGAAAAGAAAGTAACTCTCATAAAATATAAATTTTTGTTAATTACATTTACGTGATCAAATGATAAATTTTATTGTTTGCTAAAAAAAAGAATTTTATAATGTGTTTAAAATGTTTAACTTTTATTTGTAACAGTGAAATTTTTCATTTTTATAATTAATTTATATCAATTTTTCAAATGTAAGTGACAGTTTATTTATTTTTTTCCAAAAAAGTAATAGTTTAGAATATTAAGAAAAAGACATTTTGATTAGAGAATCTATGTTTATTAAATAAGATAGCCCCTGTTATTATCGCTACAATTTTTTAATAAAGTAAATTATTATAACGTATATAAAGGTTCTACAGCTTCAATATGAAACTATAAGTTCGAAAAAAAAGGGTTTGTCAGAATGAAACAATAAAATTAATATTATTCAAAAGTAAAAATTGATTTACTAAAAATTAGTGCATAAAATAATGATTCCATGATTTTATTATGAAGCAAAAAGTTTGAAAAAAAAAGGTTTTTTTCAAAAGAATATAATAAAACTAATACTGAAATAAAAAAGATCGATTTCCTAAAAATTAGTAAATAAAGGTCAATAAATATTTTGTTCAATGGTAACAAATATTACTATAAATGTTAAAATATATGCGTGTGCAAGCATAAAAGAAAAGGATATAATATCGATTTCTTGCGTGGAAAGCGAACCAGAGTTATTTTGAATCTTCGACAAAACTGTTAACATCTGATCGAATTAGAAATTTGATTATTCATATAATACAACCAATGTTATAAATTTGATGGTACAAACAAATCAAAGAATGAATGAATCAATGTCCTACCGTGGCAACTGTATCGTAACTAGAAAAGCTTGCTCGCGAACTCATCAATGGCGGATCCTTCAACACGAGAGGAACCCGATTTTCTCGCGAGATCTCTCAGCTCAGACAAGCTCCTCCCGAGCTTCAACGCGATCTTCGTCTCGAACACTTCGCCGTTCTCTCTCTTCCCCGTTTCAGATTCTCCGATGGTGGATCTGATCGAATCTTCCAGCTCAGAAAAGAATCCGGCACTGTTTCTGTACATCTCAAACACCATCCCCACTTGGCCACCATGCTCTAACGCGTTCACCGCCGATCCTAACGCAGCTAACGTCGTGGCTGCAACTCCTGCCCAACACGAACCGTGACCGATAAAAGCTGAGGCTATGGCGGAAACTCCGGTCAAAACCGGTCCGGACATGGCCAAGACCCGGTTTAGCCTCAACGCTTTGTCACCAAGGTTCTTGTATTCCTCCGAATCTCTCCTCTTCACCACCTCCATCACCTCTTCCATCTCCATCTCCAGCTCTTTACTCCATCCATTTTCTATCTTTGATCGATTTACAGAGCGGGTTTGGGCCTTTTTTCGATTGTTTTGAGGCCACCAGATGGAGGGTTTGAACTCTTTCGGGAATTTCTCGAGCATTGCTCCGAGGAGGGGAAGAGGGTAAGCTCTGTCTATACACAGCACTCTCTCCATCGCTTCCTTCACTTCATCTTCTCCAACTTCTGTCTCTTCTCTCATCAGAACGCTCTCGATTCTGAATCTGAGCTGAGTGAAAAGCCTCGTGGCGTTACGCTGTTCTTCCACCAGCTGAGATGGCTGAATCTTGTTCATCATGGCGACCATACTCGTAGCCGAGGCCAACAAAACCGTCGAAGCCATTTTCATGGCCATGACAGAATCTCCTCCTCCGCCGGACGCCATTCCCGCCATTAAAGCGCCTGTCAGAGTGATGGTGTTGATGGAACCGAGCATGAGGGAGTTCCAGTTGTTGCGTTGCTCTCCGATGTTTCTGTGCATCTCTATCCTGTCTATAACTTCCTCCAGCACCGCGTAAAGGCGCGACCTTTGGACAGAATCAGAGGCTCTCCCCGGTTTCCCGCCATCGCCATTGTTGTCTGGTCGGGTTTCAACCAATGGAATGGATTTTGTAATCCCTTCGGACCCCATAAGTGTGAATTCCTTTGTCAGATTCCGAGGCTTGGAGGTCATGATTCTCTGTGGTAACCGAGGGACAGAGATTGCAGCTCGTGTTCTTGTTCTTACTGAACAAGAACACGGACAACACAAAACCAGAGTAGAAGCCATAGTTTGAATCGAACAGAACAGATCTGAGAATATTTTATAATCAAACTCTGTTTTGGTTTTTGTATTTTTTGGAATAGATATTGTGACAAGGTTGAGTTCTACATATATACACACATATATATATATATATGTATGTATGTATGGAGAGCTATTCAAAATGAAAAATGGATAGGATGGTCAGAAATAGTTTTGGCGACTGCCTTGAACGGACGATGGGTGTGACTCGGTCCATATCTCTGACCTCTTCAAGTCATTGTTTGCGATTCATTACTCTCTCTCTCTCTCTCTCTCTCTCTCTCTCTCTCTCTCTCTCTCTCCGATTCTAAATAATGTAAGATCGGTCCATATGAGGACAATATCATGCAAAAAATTTATTTCATTTTCAGCTAAAACTATTACAACGACCGAGCTTATTATATGACATTTTCACCGTATAAGACAATTAGAAATACTTGCAGACAACGTCAAAACAAGACATTTTGTAAGTATTGTAGTCAAATTACTTTATTTGTTTGGGAGATAACATGTACCCACTTGAAGAAGTGGGTTGAGATTTTATTTCATTTCTAAAAATCTATTGTTTTTGAGTTATAAATTTAAATAATTTTTAACAAATTTATCTTTATTGGGCATGCATCATCTAAGAAAAATCCATCAAAACCATACGACATATTCAAAATTTATTATAATCTAAACATAAAATTATTAAAATTTTACAATTACTATACAAAAAAAAAACCTATTAGCTTCCTTTATTAGTTATTGTCTAGAATTTTGGTGAATCCACAAACAAATTAAAACACATTAAAATCTACACCTAATATTAAACTGATTGTTATTCATTAACGATCATCAGCGCTGTTTGGATAACCGGAAACACATTAATAACCGATTGTGATTTCTTTGGTTACCCGTTAACCGGACGCAGTCTTTGGTTAACCGGAAACTTCTTCAAGTGGGTACAAAACCGTAGTCTAGAAATCACTGCAATTTACAGGATTTTACCATATCCATCTTCAAAAACCAGGTCATGTTTGGGCAAAAACAGAAACAACAATGCCTAAAAAATGGTTCCAAAAACTTAGAAACAACTTCCAGCCTTTCAAAAGACAATTTCTTGAACCAAATTCCATTTCTTGGGGTCAGAAAACAACATCACCGTCCTCGGACAATCCACTCTAAGTCGCTGATGATATTACACCTACTCTGTTTTGCAGGACAAAAAATTTCGGACAAAACCCAGTTTCGATCGATCATAACAGATCAGGTGGTACGATGAATCCTGCCGAGTCCTTGAGAGTCTTTCTTGCACGCCAATGCACCGCATTTGCTGTCTCTGACGTTCCCAGCTGCAGTAATCATGGAAAAACATATTCAAAGATAACTCGTAAAAAATGATTCAAAGCCGAGTTTTTTGGTATACCCACATGGATACGATTTCTAAAAGGCGGTTTACCTTTGTCTCCATTGAGTAGTAATCCTGCCATAGTTTCGCATCTTGGCTGTACGTTGCAACAGCAGAATCATACAACTTCCGAGCATTTCTGAGACAATCTTTATCACCTAGAGATGCAAGGTTCGATTCAATCTCGATGCAGACTCTGTAGAGAACGAGTCCGGGGTGGGGAAGAGCGAGGAACCTGTAAGTTTTAGCGAAAAATAAAGGACTTGATCAACCTTTCTACAAGGAAAGTGAAATATATGGTGACAGGTGAGAATTCTGGGGGAAAGAGATAAATGACACACCTCTTGTATGCCTCTCTTGCACTCTGAATCCCTCTAGTTTGAAGAATAAAATTTACAACCATGGAAGCAGGAGAAAACCCATGGTCACCTCCACCGCCTTTCGTTACCAAAATAACGGACATCTCGATGAGCTTGTCAAGATAATTTCTCTGATTAGCGAAGAACTTAAGGGCCTGTTACAAAATAAGTGAAAAAGGATGAGCATTTTAAGTGTAAGGACGAGAAATTTTGCCAAGAGAACAACACTACTAGCTAGTCATATACCATTTGCCACAAGCTCTCAGATTCGGAGATCGGCACTTTTTTCAAAGCATTAGAGAGAAGATCAAAGATTGACTGTGAATCTTCGTTACTAGGAGAAGTGGAATCCTTTGAAAGGGATCTCATTTTGATTGAGATCCTTGAAAGCCATAACTTAGCTGACCCCATAAATCTTCCGGAGCAAAGTTTTTCAGATAGCTTCTGAGCCTCTTGTGTCCTTTCCAGTTGCAAGTAGAAAGAAACATATTTGCAAGCAAGATCCTCAGTCAAACAACCAGTTGCATCAGCCTTTTGGTACACACTAATGAGATGTGAAACACAATCCGAAGTGTGGTTGGACGATGGAGAAATTTGATTATCATCGCTGTTTGATGGTGCAATAATCTCCATCAAGAACTTAATAAACATATCAAACATAGCGCTCGAAGTAGCGGTTCGTATACCTTCCTCATATACCTGCACTTGAGAAAAAACGGTTGTCATCCATCATGATATGCCAATATCTACTAGTAAGTTTAATTAGACACGCTACAATAAGATAATCGAGAAGGCAAGACAAATTCGCCATGGCCAATACACATGATTATCAAACTGAGGTATTTTGGTTGAAACAGAAAACAATGACAGGCAAAATCAAGACCAATACTATTTGTTCAACCATCTTGGTAAGCGTGCGACTAGCCATATCAACGAAGTTGAGTTTTACCTGAATAGCCTTTTGCAGTTGAGAATTCACAATTCCTTTGCTCGTCCCTCGGCTAATAGAATCACTCATTTCATATCTTGCAAGCCAATCCCAGTATCCAGGCTCCCTGCAGAAATCTCTTTTCATGTCACTTAGAATCGGATTTCGGATTTCTTCTGAACGGGCCAAATCAGTTCCATCCAAAATCTCTAAAAAGCGTTGTCTCAAGCTAAAACTAGAAGGAAGTGCTTCAACTGCTCCACTATATATGGTCTGAAGAACATCCGACCCTTTTTCCTGAAAGACATCCACTTTCTCACTAGTATCATCATCTTCAACGTTGGAACCTTCTTCCACAACTATAGGCAAAAATTCATCGTTTATTTCACCCGTCTCTTTCCCGTCCTCGGCGCTTTTCTTGTCTCCTAACAGATTTCCTTTAACCTCACCGAGGGCAAGTTTACGAGCTTTTAACTTATTTAGGTATGTGAGCTCCATGCGAAGGTACTCCACCCACAAGTCTTCTGAGTGTGGACACACTCTCAGACCATTCTGCATAAGAGCACGAGCTGCTGCAACATTCAAATTTTGATCAAACTCCCATGCTGCAGCGTATATCCATACTCCAGGAACTTTAGGATGAAATCTAATCACTTGAGCCAACACCTACACATATTTCAACAAATATTTTTTTTAAAAGAAAAAAGAAAGAAAAGGAAAAGTGGCATATTCAACAAAAGCACAAGAACTTCTCAAATCACAATGATCCTATCAGGTAACTCCGAATTCATCTAAAACATTTGAAGACATATATATCTTTCTCTAGCAATTTTAATTGACAAGGGCCAACGGCCGAATCATAAAACTAATTAACCCAATTTCTGAAGGGCTTTAATTCGTTTAAACTGAACTCACCAACTCAAGTAACCTGACTACAACCTTAAGACATGAACACAAAACACGGCTCAGCTGTCGAAATTCTACAGTGTCTGTTTCACTAACTATTGTTAGTAATAGAATCCGTTAGCTCCTTGGTAATAAAAAACCGTCCTTAGCAATGCCCTGTTACCGATTCCTATTAGCAATCTAATGAATGAAGAAAAAAGATCAAATGTTCTTAGGAAAAATTGATACTTTATGAGAAACCAAGTAATCAAATGATATATTGTAAAAACCATGACAGACCCATATTGTCAAGTGTCAACAATATAAAAAAAAAACAAGAATTCATTGGAAAATCTTCTGAAAAAAGGGGATTTTCCCATGTAAATTTAGTTAAATAAAACGAAAATCCCCAAAATTTACCTTCTTCATTCTCCCATTCTTCTTCTGCCTGCAGAACTCGAGATACCTAAACCACAAATTGATATCTCCCTTATACTTCATAGTCGCCAGCCTATAGATTTCCACGATCCTCGCGACGCCCGAGAAATCAGACACCGACTTCTTCATCTTCTTCTTGGCCTCATGCGCCACCGCCTTCTTTCGCAAGCGGCGTAGCTGATCGAGCTGAGTCTCGTAGTCGATATACGCAATGAAATCCTCCTTGAGCGGGCTCGGCCTCTTCAGCCGGTACTCGAACTTCCGGCGCTGCTTCACGATCTCAGCGATCTCAACGCGTGTGAAGATTCCGCGTTTCTCGAGGTCCTCGAGCTCATTGACCATCCGCTCGGGGGGGTATTGGACGACGTCCGCCATGGCGAGTCCACTCGGCGGCGACTCGGATGGTAGGGTTTAAGGCAAGACGGATAGTAACGAAGAGTGAGTTTTTCCCTTTTTTTTTTTGTGCTCTTTTTGAAAATCAGTTTTGCTTTTATGTTTCGATGAAATGGGCTAACTATGGTGGGCTTTAAAATTGGGCCTTAAGAGAAAGCCCAATGAGGTGAATGAGAATATTTGGCATAATTAATTTATTGAGCTAATTTTGCAGATTTATTATAAAATTTGAGTTCCACACTAACTAGCAACGGGCTTATTCCATATTCCGTTTGGACTCGATTTGTTTATATTCCAATTCAATTATTTAGGGTTTTTAAAAAATATATATATAACCATTCTTTTATTGAATTCGTTTTAGATTCAATTCAATCCAAAAAAATTACTATTTTAAAAAAAATATTTTTCCCCTTACTTTTTATTCAATTTTTTCGATCTTCTATCAATTTTAATTAATCGATTTTTATATCAGATTCGATTCACTTTTAGATATATATTATTCAGTTCAGATTGATTTTATTATTAACCGGATAAACAATCTCTAATCACAGTAAAATAAATCTTAATAAAAAAAATAACCAAACCAAAACGGAATTTCACAAAGTTTGGAGATGATATTACAATAAACTATTGTGTTATAACAATTTAATACTATTTATAAAAAAATTATCCAATGGAACAATTTCATTTCATAGAAAAAAACTCAGAGAAGCTCAAGAGGAGCTCTCAAAACACAAATCTGCCACCCTTTCGTGACACTAACATACACAACAACATTAGCCGACATAACGGTAATAACTAACTAACAAACGGTCACATGACATAAGATATGGCTCGTGTTTTAGATCGGCCTGGTGTGTCGGCCTCTGGCTCGGCCGCAGAGAAGGGCGTTCTTCGGGATCGGATACTCGTCCCTGTAAGAAGTGGACGATGTCCAAACCCGAAGGTAGAACTGTTGCCCCAAGTACTGTCTTCCCCATTCCTCCGACCTTATGTTCCACATCCCCACGTTGTCCAGCGCTATGTATATCGCTGTCCACGCTCTCGGGTATACCTATATCGTTCGATAATTTAGAGTAAACGATATAGTTATATATACACAAGATTATATAACTTTTTCATTTATACCAAAATTTCATAATTTCATATAAAATTAGATCACTGTTAAAAAAATGGTTTACCTGAACGGTGGAACGAGCAACTGCGTCATGGAGATTGTACTTTGCTCGGCTTCCTGCAGTCCATTGCCCTCCTTCCATCCTACCAAAACCCGGAATTTTATTACAAAATATTTCATAACATTTTACAAAATCGGGAATAAAAAACGCGAATCTGAGATCTTTCTTACCCGACGACGAAGAAGGAGTAACCGTCGATGTGCCAAGACTGGACAGTGTTCTCCCAGTTCTGGAACACGATCTCGATGAACTCTCTGAAGTTTGCGGCCATGACGGATGTCTGGAGTGACCCTCCGTTCCCACCAGAAGGACTCGTCGGTATGCTTCCGAGGTTGAAAACTCCAGAGATCTTGAAGTAATCCGCGAGCTTCAAGGGCGTGTCGGGAGCCACGAAGGACACGCCGTTGGCGGCGTACCTCTGCTTGCCGTTGATGTAAGGCGCTGAATTCGATACGATGATGGTTCGTCCCGGTTTGATCATACCGTAATGGTACGAACCCTGCGGGTTTGGCCTCGGTCCACTCGCTGTCAGATTCCTCCTGTTCCGTGCATAGGTACGCAATATAGTTGAGATTCAGGTTTCAAGATCCGTTGTTTATCGGAATTCTCGGGGTAGATTCGGGTATTTCGATCTGTGATTTAGGAGACTCGAGTATCCACATTTCGATATTCACGGCTGACGATTGGCAACGTGAGTACCCAAAACCATGAAAACATGTAAATTTTTCTTGACGTGAGTTGATTATTCATAGTAAAAACTGAACCCGAACCAACGGCTCGGGTTCCTCGTTTCATTTATCAATAGTTAACCTCGTTTGCTGCCAAGTACCCGTTTTCCGGATACCCATGAAACCTGTTGTTATCGGGTTTTAACACCCACCCCCACTCGAAGCACCAAAATGAAGCGAAAATTGTTACCTAATTGTTCGAGCTTGGAAGAGAGAGGAAGCGATGTCCAGGGTGGGTCCGGACGGAACAGGACCAGAGACTCCTCTTCCCGAGTTACTGTAATGAAGAACGGCGGTCGTGGTGAGGACCTTCCGTGTGAATCTCGAGGATACGACGATGTAATAATCCTGCGGCGCCTGGTTCGTTGTCACGAGAACAGAGTAGGACTGACCCAGATGAATGTCCAGAGACGAGTAGACGTTTTGAACCGTGTGGGAACCCTCTACTTCGACTAGCTTCATCGTGTGACCTTGGATTCGAAAGTTTATCGATGTTGCCAGTCCCACGTTCGATATTCTGAATCTGTATGTCTTCCCTGAAAGAAAGTGAAAATTTCGTCAGAAAGAGATGGAGCGAATCAGAGATTTGATCGTAAGATCGTATCAGAGGATATTGTCTGTGTTTCCTCTTACCAGGTTGCACGGTGAAAGTATTGCCGCCCCAGCCGCGGCCATTAATGAGAATTCCGTCGGGGAAAGGCAGATTCCGGCCAGCCTCTAACAGACGTCTCAGAACCTATCATTAACCCGAAAAAGTAAGATTCGGGTTTTGCATTTAAGAATTCTGTTTGAGTTTATGAACACCAAAGTTCAGTTCTTTGCCAATCCACAGAATCTTTGAAAGACTGATGTGTGTTTCAAGAACCGACACCCGAGTTTTTGGAGGGGGTTTCTTGCGGTACAAGTAACGAGGATTAGGACGGAGAGAAGAACTTACGTAGTGGTTAGTTTTGTACCAATCTCCGGCGAGAAGCCAGAAGTCTCCGTCCGGTGGAGAGAAAGGGACGGGAATTTGGGGACGGCTCCACACACGGATGGCTCCAAAGGCGCCGGCGGCTTTGTGGAAGGCGAGGGAAGGGAAGTAGAAGTAGCTACCGATTTGGTCCTTCACTTGGATAATGTAAGTGAAGTTCTTTCCGGGTGGGATCGGACATGTCGTCCCTATTACCCCATCTTGCCATGAGTTCTTCCTCTGTTGCAGCCCGTTCCTGCAAACATCGACAAACATTTTAGCAAATCAAAATGCCAACTTTTTTTGGATTTAGATTGAGATCAAACAAAACAGAAAATTCACAAAGCATAAGTTTTTTGAAAATCTGTGCGATTTGTTCCCAAGTTTGTGGTAGAAATTCTTCAGAACCAAAGGAAACAGCATGACAGCTGACTATTTAATTATCAGGGACCTTTTGGAACATATCGAAAGTTTAGGGCGACATTTTATATATCTCAAAAAGACCAGGAGTAAAAAGTTATTTTCGACCCTTTGTGTCCTGTGTAAGTGAAGATTATATGGGACCGGTCCGACCAAAACCAAACTAAATGGAATCAAATCGATGCAGGAACCAGATTCAGTTCCCATAACCTCCCTACAACGTCATCAGATCTTACACTATTACAAATGTTGTGTATATATATATATATGTATATATACATTGGCTCATGAGTGGAATTTCTTAATGGTTCTTGTTTTTTTTTTTATATATATTTTAATGTTCTTTTTTCCTCTATTTGCAGCACTCATTGTGGGCTTAATGGAGGACCATTTGCAACCAAGATAAAGTTTACATCTTTCAAAGGAAATCCAAAAGAGAAAAGAAAGATGTATGTATGTATGTATGTATGTATGTATGTATGTATGTATGTATGTATGTATGTATGTATGTATGTATGTATGTATGTATGTATGTATGTATGTATGTATGTATCAAAAAAAAAAAATGTATGTATGTATGCCGCAGTGCAAGATCTACTCAAAACCCATGTGTCTGAAACCGGCATTTTTCTTCAGACAACATTAAAAAATAAAATAAAAAGCGCCCAAAAAAGTTAAGAGATTCCTTTCCCATTACAAAACTTTCTCGTTCCTCGCTGTTCGGAATATGCAGTTTTCTCGGCATCCAAACATCACATTATCCCCAGAAAATAAAAAGATTAAAGATTGAGGAGATACCGACCAAGAAATGAGGAAAGGCTCGTTCAAGTAATTGTAAACACTGATAATCAAGTTGTCGTTCGTCACCGCGTCGATGTGAGGGCCAGGAAACTGCCCATTTATCAAGATCCCCTGAACCAAACACACGCCGCCGAGAAACAAAAAGCTTCAGCGGATTTTCTCGGCATCCAAACAGAATGAACAGGAAAAAGAGAAAGAACGTACCTGCTGTTTAACACCAAGAGGATAAATGTCGCCATAAGTCACCTTCCAAGTGAAGAATCTATAAGGGTTTTCTCCGAATACGCCATTGACGAGAACCAGAAGAAGAATGGCTGAAACTTTGCAGGAATCTCTCATTCTCTCTCTCTCTCTCTCTCTCTCTCTTCAGTCTCTTTGTTTTGTTTTTAATCTTCTTTGGATCTCAGAGACTGTGTGTAGATCCGTATACAGAGAGATTGGGAGATAGGGTAATGCCGGTGCTCTCTTAAATATAAGCAGCACCATCTTTTTTTTTTCATTTATATTTTTTTAAATGAATTAACATATTCTTTCAATATTATCATTCGGTCAATATATTTTAAAGTATATAGACTAAATTAAACTCCACCAAAAATTAATTTTTAGGCATAATTTTATATTCACTGTTATTATAATCAGTAAATCCTTTTTTCGTATATTATTTATTAACTTTAAAAAAAATTATCATGTGTAGATTCCAAAGTTAGTTAGCAGTATCTATATATGGGTTTGAGATTTGATTATCCGGTAACGAAATTTCGAGATTTTCTTGATTAAAAATTATAAACTTTGGTTAAGTAATTAATAAAGTCCAAATAAATTACATTAACTTTGTGAAACCGCTTGGATTGTCACATTAATCCAAACTAAGCAAGCTCTGTAAAATATGTTTTACACATGGTAGTGGATTGTAATTTGTAGTATTAAATTAATCATCTATAAATTAGAAACTGATATTTATTATTATTATTATTATTATTATTATTATTATTATTATTATTATTATTATTATTATTATTATTCTTTTGTTATTTATATGTTTTGGGTTTATGGGTCAGAGCCCATCTCTCGGTATTGTCCGCAAGAGAACTAAGGAAACGCGGCGTATGAGCTGTCAGAGAGAAGAATCCTCAGCACTTACATATGCTAGTAAAATTTCGTAATCACCGTTCGATTTACACTCTACGGAGGAATTAGAATGCAGTCGACGGTGAAGATTGATGGTCAGATCTATTGGTGATAGAGTACGGTACATTTAACCGCAGAGAATACTGCCCCTAGCTTTCACGTGCTGCTGTTGCGTTCTGAACCATCGGCAAAGGAATTGAACGAAACCAAAGAAAACGACAGAACAGGAAAAAATAAATTGTTATTAGCTTTTGTATAAAACAATATATTTATAAAAAAAATTGAGTGTAACAATATATATATATATAAGGTTGTATAATACTGATATCATATTTGAGAAAAATGAATAGAGGAATGGTACAAGTGGGTTCCGAAATCTTCGGCGAAAGCGATTCTTTGATCTAAACGTAATTTAGAAATTAATAATATCTCTTGGTCGTTGGATTCACATTTTGTGAATATATATTAGACAGATTAAAATATATATATATATACAAATGATGTATGAAAAAAAAAACTTTTCTCGAAATAATTTTCACTGTCCAATATCCATTTTAAATTATGGAATTTTAAGCTCTTCCTTGCTACTAGGTGTGGGCAAAATATCCGAAAAATCCGAACCGATCCGTTATTCGATTCGTATCCGGATCGAAAATTCGGATATCCGGAGTTTACGGATCAGATACGGATATTTATTTGGAGATATTTGTCGGATACGGATCAGATACGGATATTAAATTTGAATTATTCGACATATCCGATCCGATCCGTGTTTTGTAATAATATTATTAAATATAAGAATAATTTGGTATGAAGATTTAAAATTCTTAATATTTACATGTTTTTTTAGGGTGATTCAAGAAAACTTTTATATATATTGAGGTTTATAATTTTAATTTTTGAATATTAAGATTTATTATGCTTAGTGTTTTGAATTGTGAATATATTTGTATGTAATAGATTATAATTGTATTTGTATTTAAGTTGATTTGGAATGTTTAAATTATGAATTTTAAATTTGTGAATATTATTTATCTTAAATAAATTATATATTTTATTTACGTTTGAATTTGTTATTTAATTTAAATTTAAAATTTTATAATATTTTAGGTCGGATACGGATATCCGCAAATATCCGTGATTTTAACGAATATCCGAAGTTGCGGATATTCGAAAATTACGGATCGGATACGGATAACAAAATCGAATATTTGTGCGGATCGGATACGGATACGGATATCTCCAAAATCCCAGATTTCCGATCCGTGTCCACCCTACTTGCTACTCAATTCTTCTAATAAACTCTTGCTGCAGAAACAAATAGCGTACAATTAAATTTGGTGCAAAATATAGGGAATCGTAAATATATAAAATAGACCAAGAAATGTGTGTATATACATATATATATATATATACACACACATTATTGTCACATGCACGGAGATGGAGGAAGGTTCCCAACAAATATATTTTCATAATGCCACCGCATAATTAATGTATCTTCATGATTTACTAAGTTCATATAAGAATCTCATTTAATACCACCATTTATTTTATTTTTATTTTTCTCGGGTTGCGGTGCATAAATATTTATGTCAACGATATAATTATAAAATCTTGATCTTACATAGGCTCATCGCCATTACATTTAAAAGCGCACATACATATATGTATATATATATATATATAATTTAACTGCAGTGGGCTGACGTGGGCTTGACAACTGTCTCGTATAGGCGTAGCCCAGTATTTATTGGGCCTAATGCCAGCCCATCACTTAGGTAACCAATATTACCATTTTTAATTTTATGAATGGATCACAATACCTTTTTTTAAGACTAAATAAAAATAATAAAAAGTAAAAAAAACAATCTTTTTATATCGAAATTTTCATTTAACGATTTTTTAGTAGATTATTATTTTTATATTTATGTTGAAAATTTTGATATTTGGGATTATTTCTAAAACAAATTCAAATTATGAAATTAGTTTGAGTATGATTCATGAAATTAAGAGATACCCTTTAACGTTTTTAAACAACGGTTCTTTTACGAATAGGATTAAAAACAAATAATTAATATTGAGCTCCAATATACGATCAGATGACATTTTGCGACTGAATTACGGGATAGTGCTATTATAATCATTGTATGATATGGGGCTTATATATTATGATACATATCGTGCTCGCTTTTACAAAATTTTTATATTTTTTATTTTCTTACGAAAGCAACGTGAATTTTTATAACAAAGACCCTTATTTACCATTTGTTAAGCATATTATAATTTGATTTATCTCTCTCTTAAATCGCATCGGGATGAATCCCACCAATAGCATTTCATTCCCAATTTTTTTATTTTGCCTTGTGTTCTTATTAAAAAAATAAAAATTAAGCATGCGTTTGCTTCATTTTGTCACATGCATTGCAATGTTCAGGTAGGTGGGATACCTACTTAAATAACTTGGTCAATTTTATGAGGTCTACAACTATATATATATATATATAATTCTTAGTGAAGTTGGATGAACATGTAATTACTTAGTACGAAAGATAATAAAAATATGTATACGTATTTTTTTGGCGGTAAACAATATGTATATGTATTAATTTATAGAATTCTTATATTGGTACGTTCAAAGAGGTTGAAACTTGAATTATGTATTTAATTCCTTCCCCCGTGTTATTCACGTGAAATAAAAAAATATATAGGTGTAAATTGGATTCAACAATCAATTATTCAGTTTTTTTTTTAATCCGAAGGATTTAATTTAAATGCACCCTTTGGAATGTATATAACTATTCATCATAATGGTGTATCTATAAAATTATGCACTCTTAGAATGTATATACATCCCTAATGATCAAATCAGATCAGAAAACATAATAGAAAAACATGAATAATTATTAAATTCTTTGAATGAATATATATATATACACATTATAATCTTTTTTTTTAAGTTAGTGCTTTGGAAAAAATTGACCACGATTCTTTACCCCCGCACACCGAAATGACGAACGCGATGATATTTCCCAAACCTTCATCCAATCAGAGGATGACACGTCATCATAATGCCCGGCCACAAAAGCGTCCAGGTTCAATGAACCTGAATTCACCAGGATTTTTTTGTGTTATTTATTTGCTTTGAGTCATCTCGTGTTTCTCAAATTCGTTTGAGAAAAAAAAAATAGAGAAACAATCTCTGGAAATTTTCTTAGAGATATTCCGAAAATTAGCTGAGAAATGGCGTCGGCGTTCACTGCTTCTTCTTCCTCTGCTTCTTCCGTGATTCCGAGCTCTGGTTTCTCGTGTCTGGGTTCTCATTCGGAGATCAAAGGTATAACCATAATTCCTGGCGATCCCATTTTCTCTTCGGTTTTCTCTGTAACCAAACAGCACCTGGGAGCAACATTTATGTCATTTTCTAGGGAAATCGTAGGAATTGCTAGATGGGTCAATCGATGTGTTTTGGGTTTTGATTCGTATTTCGCTTGTATCGGCGAATGGATGCTAAAGTTATTCAAATCCGGGGTTTTTTTTTTCAGCTACGCAAATCGGTTCATTGAGGTTGGTGGGGGATCGTTTTAATGTTGCTCCATCATCCCTGAATCTGTTCGGGAGACGATCCTCGCTGAAACCCTTGAATGCTGAGCCAAAAACACAAGATGCCGTGGGTCCTCTTGCGGCAACCATTGTTGCCCCTGGTAAGTTGGTTTATTTGATTCGATCGCGGTTCTTTCCGATGTTCATGAAGGTGATATTGCTCGCTAGTTTAAATCAAGCTGTTTAATTGGGTTCATGCTAATCGCTTTGCCACATTTGTTAACAGAGTTTGAAGAAAAAGTGGAGGCGGAGAACTTTGAGGAACTGGCGGAGAGGCTAGAGAATGCTTCGCCTCTCGAAATTATGGAACAGGCTCTTAAGAAGTTCGGAGACGATATTGCTATCGCCTTTAGGTATTACATCGATCTTGAGAATATGATAAAGTGTAGCAATTGGATTGGATTAGGTGATGCTTTTTCAAGTACCGGTTTTGGTAAATTGGTTTCTTTCTTCCTGTTTCAGTGGCGCCGAAGACGTTGCTCTTCTTGAGTATGCTCGCTTAACTGGGAGACCCTTTAGGGTTTTCAGCTTGGATACGGGGAGACTGAATCCTGAAACGTACAGATTCTTCGATGCAGTGGAGAAGCATTACGGCATTCGAATTGAATACATGTTTCCTGATGCGGTTGAGGTCCAAGCCTTGGTTAGAAACAAGGGTTTGTTCTCTTTCTATGAAGATGGTCACCAAGAATGTTGCCGTGTGAGAAAGGTCAGACCTTTGAGACGTGCTCTAAAGGGCTTGCGTGCCTGGATCACCGGCCAGAGGAAAGATCAGTCTCCAGGGACTAGATCAGAGATCCCCATTGTTCAGGTTGATCCAGTTTTCGAAGGAATTGATGGTGGTGTTGGTAGTTTGGTGAAGTGGAACCCTGTGGCCAATGTCCAAGGGAACGATATCTGGAATTTCTTGAGGACCATGGATGTACCCGTGAACACCCTTCACGCAGAAGGATATGTCTCGATTGGGTGTGAGCCATGCACGAGGGCCGTTTTACCCGGGCAGCACGAGAGAGAAGGAAGGTGGTGGTGGGAAGATGCCAAAGCTAAGGAGTGTGGACTTCACAAGGGGAATATCAAGGAGAACGGCAATGCAACGGCCAGCGTGAATGGGAAATCCGCTGTTGCAGACATTTTCAACAGCGAGAATTTGGTGAGCTTGACCCGAAAGGGGATACAGAATTTGCTGAAGTTGGAGAACCGTAATGAACCATGGGTCGTCGTCCTCTATGCACCATGGTGCCCTTTCTGCCAGGTAAAAAATGTCTGCATACACAAAGTAACATGTTCTCATTTTCCATGAAAGGATGAAACTTAACCAGGGTTTTGTCATGGATTTGTATTGTGATCAGGCAATGGAGGCATCATATGTTGAACTGGCAGATAAGTTGGCTGGAACGGGCGTGAAGGTTGCCAAGTTCAGAGCAGATGGCGACCAGAAGGAATTCGCGAAGCAGGAGCTCCAGCTCGGGAGCTTCCCCACCATTCTGGTCTTCCCGAAGAACTCTGCCCGACCCATCAAGTATCCATCCGAGAAGAGAGACGTGGATTCACTTATGTCCTTTGTGAATCTTGTCCGGTAAATCTGCGGAAGACCCGACGAGACATTTTGCCATGAAAAGGAGATGAAGAAAACTATTCATCTTGTTCGGTAATGATGATAGTACAGAAGGAAAGTTCGCGAGACTTGGGAACTATCCAACCGGGCTTATATAAGATGTGGTGGTGGAGACGGAGTGAGTAGCGGAGGCCATGGAAGACTTTTTAGAGTTTGCCCCAAGAGCCTTTTTGTATATTTTGTGGTTTATAGTTAAAAAAATAAGTTTGTGTTTTGTCCTGCAACTGCCTTTGTAATGATATGATGCAGTTCAATGGTAATTATTTAGATTCACATCTTCCATGTTAATTAAACACCTAAACCATCATTAACTAACCTTAATCAAATAAATCGATGAGACTTTGAAATGTTCAGTTTCTAAAAGACATTAACGACAGCTCTAGGCAACAAACACAACACAACAATGCGGGCCTCAACTCTGTTTCTTCTGTTTATATGAACGAGCAAGATAAACACTTTCAGACAAATAGAAAGATGAATCGGTGAAAACCAAACCCAGATCAAGTACTTCACTACTTCCTGTCCAGATCATTGCCCGGTGATTATGGTTTTTCCAAGTTTTGTTTCTTCTCGAGCTTAGGAGATGGATCATTGACTGGTACGGTGATGTTCGGTTCTCTATGGTTTAATCAATTGATCGGAAAGAGTTTCCCCTGTGGCTGAGTGGTGCCGCTTCTCATCATCGCGCAGAACTCTTGATAGTTTATTCTTCCATCCTGAAAGAAAAATGAGTCATCCCTTCCATAACCATGATCGTTCTAGAGCTTATTTTGCATTATCCATGTCTGGTTTCAAAAGAAGTATCTTCAGATTTAGCTGAGGAATATCAATGAAGAGAAAAAATCTGATATAAAGCACCGCCTCCCAACTGCAGCAGGAAAGAGGAATATTATGCAGATGAATGACTTACATTGTCGGTATCGACTTCTGCTATCACTTCTCTGATGCTATCTTCATCGCCCATTCCGTACTCTTTCATGGCCGTTTCCAACTCATCCCTCGTGATATATCTGCGCAAGTAAACAAATTCACAGCGATTTCTCATAAGAACATATACAACGATGTTGATCCATATTCATACATTACAGTTTCCATTTTCTGTAGTTCCTTTTTTCTGATCTTATATCTCCATTCAACTTCAGAACAAGGGTTACTCAGAGAACTATATACCGATATACAGAAGCAAATGTTCAAATATAGTATCCAAGGGCTGAGATTGATTCTCCAATTCGATGCATATAACCGTCTCAGATGCAAGAACAACAGAAGAGCGTACCCGCTACTGTCCTTGTCAAAGTGTTTAAACGCTTTGTACAAGTGCTCATCTCGCTCCAACCGATACCTATGCATCGTTGCTGAGATAAACTCGATGTAATCAATCGTTCCATTACCATCCACATCAGCCTGAAAACATTTCGATATGTTTCAGATTTTCTCTTTTCTCATACACCGATGAAATTTTCAATATAAAAGAATTAAGGAAAAAAAATGATCAAGAAAAGCTGATACTCATTACTCACGGCTTCCATGAGTTGCTTAACTTCAGTTTCCGAGAGTCTAGACCCGAGTCTTGCCAACCCGGTTTTGAGTTCTTCATATGTGATCGTGCCACTTTTGTCAGTATCCATGTTTGCAAACATAGTCTTAAGACCTTTAATCTCCTCTTCTGACATGTTCTCTGCTATGACCTGCAAGATGCAACAAAAGTAACATCCAAAACATTCAGCCTCTAACATAAAAAGCAAGAGAAAAAGATTTGCAATTCCTTCTGACACTACGGATTGAGCGAAACCCCTAAAGAAAACTTGGGTTTTGTCTTCGGCTTTATGATAACCTAAGTCTGGTAAATTTCATCATCTTGTTTCTAGTGAAAAACAGTAGCATCCTTATGGAGAAGAACCCCCCCCCCCCCCCCCCTTGAAGGAAAAAGAAAGCATTTATCTCTTCCCAGAAAGAAAGTACCATCTTACTTAACAGGAATCAACAAGATGTTTCAGTTGATTAGAGGACATGAAAATGATGACAAGATAACCTTCAGACAAGATGCATGACTTGGTGTTTTCTGTTCTGGAAACACAAAAGCTACTGTACCTTCAGCGCTAGTTTTTTAAGCTTGTTCATTGCTCTGAATTGCTTCATACGGGACAAGACGGCGCTATCAATAGGCTTGTCCGGTGCTTCTCCGCCTTTAATCCATGGATGTTCTGGAGAAAAACACGAGAATCACAACTATAAGTAACGCAAATTGGAAGTTAGAGGTTAATCAAGTCCCAAGATTGTTGAAGTTTTTCATGATAAAGAATCAGAAAGATGCATTTGATTATCAATGGTGTCTACTCATAAGTGTAGAAGTAGAGCTTCCAATGCAAAAACACACAGAAATAAATTACAAACAAAAATTTACAGTTTGAAACCAAGCTATGCACAACTTTTCGGTCAGAACCCAGCAATGTCGGAAAATATATATAGATAGGATTACATATAACAATGTAATAATATCATTGTTAACATGCTTACCAAGAACCTGTGAAGCGGTGATTCGTTTCTTCGGGTCCTTGGTGAGCATCTTCCTGACAAGGTCTTTTGCACTCTCGGAGATAGATGGCCATGGTTGGCTATCAAAGTCAATTTCGCCCTTTATAATCTCATCGAATATTCCTTTCTCGGTTTCTACAATTATAAATCCACACAAGGATATGAATCACAAATCAAATCCTGAGAAGAAGAAAACAAGCGATGATAAATCGAAAGAAATTTCGTCAGCTCTAAAGCTTTACCGGCCCAGAAAGGAGGAACACCGCTAAGGAGAATGTACAGAATAACCCCTGCACTCCAAATGTCAATTTCCTTGCCGTAACTTCTCCGCAATACTTCAGGGGCAACATAGTAGGCACTGCCAACTATATCTCGGTAAACTCTCCCTGTAAAAGCATATGAATTCAGGTCATCAATATGATAAGGTGCACACCACATAGACCCGATAATTCATTTTTGTCGGTGTGTTCAGAAAGAGGAACCAAAAATGAATCAGACCATTGGATTTGAACAATCTATAGCCCGATTTAAGGGGGAAACCGTGTAAATATACATTTATCAGAGCAGATAGAACTATGAATAGCAGCCAATGATGGTGTAAAGTTATGTGAAGAAAGATTCACATTCACACATTCAAAAGGGAATACACGTGAGAAAATAAATCTATTGATTAACTTCTACCTCTATGCACTGGCGTACAGATATACGATATATGATATAAGATACTCACTTTATACTATTTCAAACTTGAATTCGAGAAAACAGAAACCCTTGTAACACACTGATCAACAATGAAACTCTACTAACAAAAAGAGGACATTTTGATTCCAACAAAAAGCTATCTCCTTTTTTTTTCCAACAGTAAGACAACGACCGATCATTCACGCAACAAAACCTAAACGAATCCAAACTTTGACAAACAAGATCACAACAGAGTTCCGTTAACCTGATTAAGGATCGACATGTTACGAATATGTTCCAAGAGCTCAAAACTTTCTAGGACAAAGATAATCACAGGCTCTCACCTTCCTCGATGTATACAGACAACCCGAAATCTGTTGCTTTGAGCATAGCGTTTTCGTCTTTGCTGGCGAGCAAGAAGTTCTCCGGCTTTAGATCTCTATGCATCACACCCATGAAATGGCAAATCTGTACAACATTCACGATTGACCTAATGATTCCTGCCGCTGCTCTCTCTGAGTAATGCCCCTGAGCTATGATCCTATCAAATAACTCTCCCCCAGCACACAGTTCCATCACTAGATGTACGGACTGCTGATCCTCATAAGCACCCTTAATCTCTACGATATTGGCCTGTCCTGACAAGTACTGCATTATCTGAATCTCCCTTTTCACATCCTCTTTGTCTTGTCTACTCGTTAGCTTCCGCTTGAGGATGGATTTGCAGGCGTAAGTGTTACCTGTGGAAATCTCCGTACATCTGTACGTTATACCGAATTGGCCGCGACCCAGTTCTTTCCCGAGTGTGTAGAACTTCTTGATGTCTTCGAAGGATTTCCCGAGTATGGTATCTGGTTCTCGGACAGCGACGGGCTTCAGTGGTGTCGAAACCTGCTGAGGAATCGGCTGATTCGCGGGTTTCGGTTGAGAGTTCGTCTGCGGCTGATGATTCTGCGGGTCTGATTGTTTCCGAGGCTCGGGGACGTGATGGACGACATGGGTTTGTGTGGGATTGGTCGGAACTGAACTCCGTCCGCCACTGACGCCCGCTTGAGCTCCCCGGTGTTTGTTGCTGAAGCAACCCATCTGAGAGTTTCCACAGGAGTTTGGTAGGGTTTTCGGGTTTCGAGCACAGGGAGGGGAAAGGGGGTCAGATCGAGGGTTTCGAGATACGGGGGCTGGAATTTGTCTGGAGGGACATGAGTGGTGTTTCTTTGACTGGGTTTGTCGTGACTGAGCCTCCACAAGACAGAGAAAATTGCGGATTTTGCCGACATTCACGCTTTCTGTCGTCTTCTCATCTCAGAATCCTAATCCGAAAACTTGAATATTCATCACATCTTTAGGAAGAGATGGATTCGTAGAGGCGAATCGTCGAATTGCTCTTCATTCTAATTTTTTGCTAAAAATAACTCTAGAAATCAGAATATGCCCTCTTCTCCTTCGCGTTTTCAATCCCCTAAAAATGGTAACTTTAGATTTTTTGGATCCATGACCAGTGGCGGATCCAGAAATTTTTTTCAACGGGGGCAACAAATATAAATATGATATAAAATATAAAAAACTAATAAAAATATATTATCAGAAAAATATTTTTCATTATATAGCTAAATTCTCCGATCTTTCATTTTTTTAAATCTATTCCTAACAACTTCATTTATAATTATCTCAAACATATTTTTTTCGATAAAACAAATTAGAAAATCACTCAAAGGCTGATCACCAATCCGATTACGCAAAGTTATTTTAACATGACTAAAAACTGTCATATAAATGAGCAATTTTGAATTTATTCCGTTAAATAGATCATTAAATTTTGGACACTGTAAATTTTTTTGAGAAATTTCTCAATAGATTTCTCTGTTAAATCAATTATGAGATTTGTATAAAAACAAATTTATTAATATGATAGATATTTAGAAATAAATGAATAAAAGATAAAAAAAATATTTAAAATAAAATCCAGAATACTTATATATTTTTGTTGGTTTTAGTTTTTTGGATTTAATTATTATTGGATTTTTATTTTTTTATTTGATAAAAAATTAAACAGAATTAATTTGGAGTTGGTAAAGAATATAAAAAAATGAAGGAGAATGTAAAATTGGTAGAAAAAAAAATTGAAAAAAAAAAGATTTAGGGTTAAAAAAATGAGGGGGCACCATTTCATTTTTAATGGGGGCATTGTTATAATTTAATTAAAACTATAAGTAATATTTCTTTTTTTTAAAATGTGAATGGGGGCATGTGCCCCCACTTATGTGCAAGTAGATCCGCCCATGTCCATGACCAAAAACCAGTTCTGTTTAATACGACATTGAAACGGAGAGAATGGAAAGGAAAATAATAATTTATATTCATATTGAAAAATATAAGAAAAAAATTGTGAATAATTTTGCACTTTTCGGTGATGATGTCTTGAAGGAAAAATAATTTTTGGAATTGTATCAATGATTACGTACCATATAATTGATGTAATAATAAGCATGCAAAATGACAAATCCAATTAATGTCTATTGTATAATATTCACATGACATAAACATGGCATCTACCAAAAATTCCACTACTCTTTGACATATCTAATTTCCTAAAAATATTCCATTTTTTGCTTTTAATTTTAAAATTTTATTATAATAACACACATATGTATATATTATAAAAAAATATTAATTTAATATTATCCAATTTCAAGATTATATTATTCGATATTATTTTGTATTTATCAATGAATTAATCACTTTTATATCATTTCAATAAAGAAAAATAATATATTTCGCTACGAATTTTCGTTTCTAATTACTATTCAATTTTTAATTTGATAAAAAATGACATAAGAATTTAAAATTTTCCAAAATTTCACACAAAATATGAAAATGTCTTCTAATTTTTACATTGTATGATTTTAAAAATTTTGAATTTGTATATACGATTTTTATCAAATTAAAAATTAATATAGAAAATTAGAATATTAACGAAAATTGGTGGAGAATATTCTATTTTCACTTCCGAATAACTCTGAAACTAGCTGGCTTGGAGTGTAGTCCGTACATTGATTACATTTATTTGGACCATAATTTTAGAGACGTTTGGATAACATTGGGTTTACTACGGCCCATTTCCTGATTCTAAATTGGGCCCATATGAAAATGGGATATTTACCTCTCTAATTTAGGTTTTGAATTTGCACGGGAAGATTTTTATTTTGAATTTTTTGTTTTAGTTTTTAAATTTTTGTTTTAGTTTTTGGTTTTTGGTTTTTCGATTTTATAATATTTTTAAATTCAAAAAAATATAGTTTTTCAATGATCTTTTCATCAAAATGGCGCTTTCCAAAATTTTTAGAAAAATAATTTGATAAAAACTTGAATGATAATTTTTTTGGTTTTTAGATTTTAAAATCTCTAAAAACTTCAACCATTCAAAACCTTAATCTATTAAAAAGTAATGTTTTCGCAGTCTTAGGTGAATATAAAAAAAAATCTTATGACTTTTCCACGTATTTCCCTATTAAAATTTATGTTTTAAAATGTTACCCTTTATATGATATATACTATGCAAAAGAAATCTAAACAAGCAAATGTAAGTGATCATATTTATTTTGTTCTTTGATTGCTCTATCAATATCTTTTAAAACATTTTTACAAAAAATATCTTATAAAACACAAACGCCCAGAAATCTCGTCATTCATTTCCCATGTTTAGATCGGTAAATCCGCGTCTTGAAACAAGAAACGATTGAGCAAATATTGCGTTTGCGTTTGCGTTTGCGTTTGCGTTTGCGTCAGCCACTATAACGCGATCGCGGCGTTCACAGATCTTCAGTTAATCATGCAAACGATAGTCAACGACAAGCAATCAATAGTCAACGGAAAACAAGGCACCGACGTTAAGTTAGATTGAAGAGTTGGGTCCATGTTGGTCTGTAACTCATAATTCTCCGACTCGGACTTTGAAAAGACAGTGGGTGTCCTTGCAACTTCCAAGTACTCCCAAAGGACCACCGCCACTATTGCCCATTTCTGGTTTCAATTCCGATTTGGCTTGATTGTATTCGGGTTCGGTTATAAAAACTACACCATCCGATTTTTATATAAATTTCGATTTGGTTCGGGTTTAATTTCTTTTTTTAACGTAAAAAACTCATTTTTTCAAAGAAATTGTCGTTTATTTCGATTTTTTTTTTAATCAGTTCGGTTCGATTTTTTTGAAATTAGAGAAATCATAACTATTCAGTTTTTATATCGGATTCGATTCGATTATGGTTACACTACAAGAAAATCTTCATATAGCGACGGAATTTGCGACGGAATTTTTTCATCGCAAACAAATTACGACAAAATTCGACGGTTTTGCGAAAATTTTTATTCCGTCGCAAATAGTCGCAAAATCCATCGCAAATTTACGACGGAAACGAAGTCGTCTCAAAACCAAACATTATTTGCGACAAAAATTTTAATATCTGCGGAATTTGCGACAGATTGCGACGGAAATTTTCGTCGTATATATTAATTTTATTTATTTTTTAATTTATGTTATTTATTTTTAGAATTTGCGACACATTGCAACGAAAATTTCCGTCGTATATATTAAATCCGTCGCAAATCGCAGATTTTGTCCGTCGCAATTCTGCGACGGATTGACGACCGACAAGCTTTTGCGACAACGATATACGGACGGAATAATTTCCGTCGCTTTCTGTCGCAAATTTGTAATTGCGACGGATTTTATTTATGTTTGCGACGGATTTTTCCGTTGCAAATTCGGATGTTTCTTGTAGTGTTATGTTTTTATTCAGTTTGATTTAGTTCAACTATTTAGTTAATAATCAAAATGGCACGCATGGTCACTACGGATACCCATTTTAATTCACAAATCTAATCACAATCTTTTATAAAAAAAAATAGATCTAAAACAGTAAATGATTATATCTTTCTAAAATCAAAAAGTTAGATGTAATTAAACTATAAAAATAATCCAATAAAAATGGAAACTTTTTAAAAAATTAATTTTTTTATAAGTAAAATCAAGAATTCCGATACAAATATAGAATTAACCCGAACACAACAACATTTTTATTTTTTTTAAAGTGAAAAAAACTCAAACAAAAAATAATTAAATCGAACTCAAGAAAAAATCAGTATATATATATATATATATATATACACACACAGTTAACTGTAAGATTCTAATGCATTTTAAAATTCAAAATACTCGTTTTTTTCAATATATATGTGTGTGTGTGTGTGCGGGGGAGGGGCCCGGCGAGACATGGTAATTGTACGTAATCATTTTTTAATTAAAACTACTAATTAAAGAATTGGAATTTCTTAAGCAGTGATTTGTTGGTTTGTAAAAATCCGTTTTCTAAATCTGCGATCCACCAACGTGTCATGTGTAATTTTTTTTTCTGTTCATTTAAAATCGTATATGCACATTGAAATATCAAAGTACATACGATTCCAGTATTTATAAACCATATATTTATAATCCCGAACTGAATTTTTGATTTATAGTGTTGTTTGGATTCGATACAAATAATCAATTCATGGACAACCCGGCATTTTAGATCTTTGTCCTTCATCATGAACTCGATTTTTTATTGAGAAGACCAGCCAACTCATCAAACAATTGCAGCATAACAATAAATCAATCACCGCTCATTTAGTACTACTAGGGTACTGATCAATAATGGATTCAAACAAAATTTCGATAATGAGGCCAGATCGTATACATGATTACGCGTTATATATGTAATACCAAATGATATGCGGAACAATAAGGCCACATCAAGAAGAAGGAGAAGAAGAGAGAGAGAGAGAGAGAGAGAGATTTCACACGCGAAGAACAAAAACTGGAGATATATTTCTTCGAGAGGCAGAAAAGAGATTCCTCCAAGATCTGAAATGGCGGCGGAAGACGTTATTACAGGAGCTGACGTGGACGATCACACTCTTCCTTAATCTCCTCAGTCTCCTCCCTATCCTCAGCCTTATCCCCACCGCCACTCTCTTCCTCGCAAACGACGTCGTTCCTCCCCATCGCCTCTGTTGCTGTCTTGTCTGGTTGTCTGCTCTTTCTAGAATCTTCTGGATCAGAAACTGAGCTCTTCTATGGATCATGTCTTCTGGGTCTTCTTTCTCCATCTTCGTGTATAAGTACGGATTCTTCACCGTAGCCATTGTTTTTTTTTTCTTTTTTTTTTCCTGGTTGAGATGGTGAGGGAGGAGAATGGGAGAGTTAACGAGTGACGTTGAGGTATATATAGTGTTAAGTTATATATATATATATATATATATATATATATATATATAGGGATCTATGTATATTACAGTGTGTCCTTTGCCCCATTGTTTTATTAATTTTTTTGCAATTTTTAAAAAATGTTAAATGCCCCTGTATAAAATTACTTTGCCCCTTTTATAAATTATTCTATATAGATCCGCCACCTATATATATATATAGGACATGTGGGGGTTTGTTGGATGAGCATTACATTGCATGTGGATTATTCATTGTTCCAGTTGTTCAGCCGAAAAAAATATTTTTTTTTTGGTAACGAAAAATAAATAAATAATAATTATTCGTTAATATATATACATGCATATTTATTGTACCGAATGTAGAATTATTAAACCTATTAGACGAGGGTTTATATTATATTATATGTATACTACTAATCTTGGCAAGATTTATATGGAATTTTTCCTACTAGGTAAATTTTATTATCTGGCTATTTGGCACGATACAGATGGAGCATGGATCAACGTACGTAGAAAAATAAGCAGAAATTAATATAAGTTGCATAAGATTCGATTTGATTTCATATACCAACTTCTGCGTATGATATGTATTTGCATGCATATATGCATGTGCATGTGTACGAATGTGTGTCTATGGCATGAAACATTAAACGGCTGTTTGATGATTTATTTTTATTGGGGGGGGGGGGGTGTTTTAGTGACGTACCAATCCAGAAGATGTAATATAAATCACCCAACATGCGTGCCCACAAAAGAAGCATTTTCCGTTTCATATATGTTTTTATAATTGGATTTTGACCCCAATTCATTATAAATTTCATTCCCGCCCTTCCACTTTAATATATTTTTTTTCAATGGCTTTAAATTAATTATATCCTAATTAAACATTTTTTCGGTGGAAATTTATACGCTAATCAGCTACTGCTTGCATCATGGATGCGTGTATTCTTGTTTTGTTTTTATTAAGGAATCCGATGATGGAATCAACATGAGGTGTCACCTACACTTAGTCATGCATGAAATCATATGTTTTTAATTATCAATCATTCTGGATAAGTCGGCACATAATTTCATAATATATGATAATATACTAGTACTAGACTTATATATATGTTATACTATTATATAAATGTTTTTTTACAAAATCATTATATAAATGTTGTACAATATAAAACTCACTGTTTACACTAAATAGAATAATGAAACGAAGTATTGTCAAATAATAAGATATATGATTAAATAGTCGATACCATATATGTGTCTCTTGAATTTTTATACAATCGAAATGGAAATTCTTCCCGGTTTCATAACTGAAATTATACGTACCCATTATTATAGCTGGCACATTTATTCGGCATGCCGAGCGAGGAAGCCCAAAAGGAAATTTAAAATGAACAGCAAAATGTCGACCGCCTTATACAGCCAAAACTGACGAATAATAATAACTAATATAAATCGGGATAAAATGAAAACATTATAATATATTTGGGCGCAGAATATTCTAAAAATTAGAAAAACATAAAAACGAGAATTGGTGTCAGGACGATGGGACAGGCTGAGTTCAGATCTCTTTGTCTGTCTCTGAAAGTCAACTCGCCGACTGAGCGACGGTGTCGCCGGGCCAGCTGAGGAACCCTAATGTCACGATAATTCTGCCAATGCAATTATTATTATTTTTTTAATTTAAATCAATAAACAAATAATAACATTTACCATGAAAACGGATTTTTGATCCATAATTTATGAATTTTTATGGAAATATGAAAAGACCTATAAAGTTCATGATTTTATATATTTTATAAAATTCATAATTTTATATATAATTTCTTTTTTTTTTTAAAGTAAAACAAACGTATTTAACTCGCATTTTTTTCACTATGAAAAAACACACTGCATTGGAGTTCAAAGAAATAGGCCCATCATAAGAATATACGAAACTGAATAAAGGCTCTTCAGATGGGCTAAATGGGTTATCCACAATTGTAGGCCCATTATTGGCCCATTTAAATGTTTATGAGCCCATTTAAGCCCATTAAAGTTGCACCTTTCGATCAGATTTGCTCATGAGTTGGCACGTGAGACTATGGAAGTTGTGCACTTACACCACGTGCGTGTGTTTTGGGGGACAAACGTAATTGTCGTCCTTGCTGTCGAGACTTTATTATATATTTCCCCCTATTTTATTTTATTTTATTTTATTTTATTTTGTCACACTTTATTTTCTTTAGGGTCATAATAAATGATTTTGGTTGTATTCAAGGGACAAGTTAGAGATTCCTCATTTTTATGTCCAAGTATGTTTTGAAATTTTAAATAAATAATTTTATACATCAATATATAATAATAAATACATATTGCTTCATTAGGTTATTTGGTGAATTAACACACCATTAAATAACAAATGACATAAAGACGTTGTTTTTTTTTCAAAAAAAAAATCAGGCACGCATATATTCCCAGAGCGATTTAATATACATTTTCCTAACAAGATTAATTTCTAAAAATTCTCGATATTTTCATTTTTTTTATTCCACAATAAAGACGCCACGAAAATGTAACCGGAAATTACATAAAAAAAAAAATGTAACCGGAAAAAAAAGAGAGAGAAACAAAACGACCGCGTTTTTGGTCTCTTCCGGCTTTATTGCTTCCCCAGCCAACGGTCTTCTTCCACTCGAAGGTTTCAGCTTTCATCTCCTGTCTCACATTTCTCCTGTAATGTTAATTTCTTCCACAGACTCACATCGAATCTCCGTTCCAGTTACTGAAATGATTCCTGAATCTCCAAATCGGATTTTGGCTGATTGAGCAGGCATTATCAATCAGTTTCCAGCCAACACATAGCAAGTTCGACACGAAGAAAATCCGGAGAAAAAGGGGTAAGCCCAGAAGATTTTTTTAGGGTTTTTTTCTCGACGAGTTTTGATATTCTTCACCATCCGATTCTGCAGAAACCCAGGTCGTGCTCATGGCCGATGAAGGGTTACTACGTCGGACAGACTCTGCTGCTCCTAAATCTTCGCTCCTGTCTGAAATTTCAAATGTCGCAACGAGAGATTATGCGATCGGGTTCAGTTCTTGTGCCGGCAGTGCTTTTGTCTTCGGTTGCATTGTGAGTTCCGATTCGTTGATCTTCGGTTCCTGACTTCAATTCTCTGTTTCCGACCAATGTAGAATCAGGATCGAGATGGGTTTGTGTTGTTGATTGTAGAAGTGTTTGTCTGTGTTGCATTTTTACAGATCGGATATTCAGCTCCTACACAGTCCGGTATCATGAAAGATTTGAATCTCTCTATAGCTGATGTAAGTAAGTGATTCCACATTCGTTAGGTTTTGACCGATGACCTTGTCCGGAATTTTCCGGCTGTACACGTCAGCCTCCGGTCGGAATCCACCTGACATCTCTGATCCTACGTCATCATGCTTCATTCATATGCACATGTTAACAATGGCTTCATCTAAGCTTTCTTTATCACGGTCTTTCCATGTGTTTATTTTTAGCAGTATTCATTCTTTGGATCCGTATTAACGGTTGGGCAAATAATTGGAGCTTTCATGTCGGGCAAATTGGCAGATTTGGTTGGTCGTGTGTATGTAAGATTGCCTATTCCTCAATTTGCAGCATTCACGATTAGTTTTATCACTTATTACAGTTAGATTTTATATAGATATTCGACTGTGTTGTTCGTTCTTTGAAGCTGTTTTCTTTGATTCTCCTGAACCAGACAATGTGGATAGTAAACATTCTCTACATCATTGGTTGGCTTGGAATTGCATTTGCCAAGGTTTCTTTCTTCTCTGCTTTGCCATTTTCGCTGTAGATTTCAAAATCAAACATTTGAAGTCCGAGTCTCTGAGTCCACATACCTTATTCTACCATGAACAAAAAGGAGGCTTGGCTGCTTGATCTTGGGAGATTCTTGCATGGATTCACGATCGGGATTGGTTCATATCTGGTACGTATTAGAACAATTCTGCATGTTCAACCCATTTATGACTCGTGTCGAGTTTATGACGCTCACAAATCCACTTAAATCTATAAGGGCAATGCCAGAAATCAAAAGTTTCGGTCTTCCTGATCTAAAACTACTTTTGTAGAACTGCATTCTTTTAATGGCGAAACGCATAATGAGTTAATAAGAACCAGACTAATAAGAAACGTAGTCTTTGCCAGGGTCCTATCTACATTGCTGAGATAACACCAAGAAACCTGCGAGGATCTGCTTCCTCGTTGTCTCAGGTACTAGGAAACAAATGGTTGAGCAAAATCTTAATGCCTTTGGGAAAGTAAATTCATCCCAACCCTTTTGTTAAATCTTTTGATTTTGTTTTGCAGTTGTTTGCTGGCATTGGCATATCCACCGTCTATGCTCTTGGAACTGTATTCTCTTGGCGTAGCTTAGCTCTTATGGGTAAAACTCATTTCCGTTTGATGGAAGAATGTCACAAATGCTGATTATAGGTGGAATTATTATCCGTCACATTTGGTCCAATCCGTGATCCAGACTGTATACAAAACCAAATTTGAAATCTGGATATTCGGATAAAGCCCTCGACTTTTCTGTATATTTGCTCCATATCCATCCTGAATGTTGATAGTGTGCAACGACTTCTATGGATAGGTTCTGTGCCTTGTCTTATGACTTTGCCTCTACTTTTCTTCGTCCCCGAGTCTCCGAGATGGCTGGTGAGTCGAGACAACCATCTCTCTTTATCATTTTGAAGTTGGGTTTTATATTATGTTCCTTTTTCTTTCTTCCACATATTCTTACCTGTCAGTTGTTGTAGGCCAAAATGGGGAGGCAAAAAGAATTCGAGGCGGTTCTGTTGCATTTACGGGGAGCAAAAGCCGATTTTTCAGATGAAGCAGCTGATATACTTGTAAAATCTTGATCTTTAAACTGAAATAATCATTGATATCTTGCATTACATTAATTTTATAAATGCCCTTTTTCTTAAATTTCCAGGAAAATACAGAATTTGTTAGAGAACACCCAGATGTTTGTTTCTCCAAGCTGTTTCAGCGAAAATACGCATTTTCACTTATGGTATTTTTTTCAAACTGTAATTCTGGACGTTGTATCCTCTTCTTTGATGGGACTTAAATCGCAAAAACAGAGTAAAAATCATGCAGATTGGAGTTGTTGTGATAGCATTGCCACAACTCCAAGGGGTCAATGGTTTTATGTTCTACACAGACTCGATTTTCGCCTCTGCAGGTAAATCTTTCTGTCTTTCTTTTTTCTATTTCATTTTTGTCTTAACAAAAACCTATATAGTTTATTGATCAAAATTTCAATTTGTGGTCCAACTCTCCAGGCATATCCAGAGATGTTGGTTTCCAAACATCGTCTCTTGTCCAGGTTTCATCCTGTAATCTAAAAAGATTTTCCTTTAATAATCATATAGCATAATTAAACATGTTTTAGTTTCTATAAATATTATCCAAATGTAAATACCTTATCAGCATTCAAACACAAACTGCAGTTGTTGACAGGGGTATTAGGTACTTTGCTGGTGGACGTATCTGGGCGGCGTTTTCTTCTTCTTGTAAGGTTTTTAATCATAATAGTACCGGAATTTCCGGTATGATTGCTAAACCAATCAGTTATTTGATCGGTACTGGAAAATAGAGTTGCATAAAATTTAAAAAATGCAGGTTTCTCAGGGAGGAGCATTCTTGGGATGCCTTGTCATAGCCATTTCTTTCTTCCTGCAGGTATGCTCCTACAAGTTCTCATTGATTCTTCAAGCAACTTTAGTAAACCGACATTCGGTGTGGTTATCCGGTTCGATTTTTTTCGGTATCTGGTCACGATGGTAAAATTTTTGGGTAAATACGTGCTCTGCAGGAGAGGCATATCTGGGAAACAGGAACACCTATCTTGACACTTGCTAGTGTGTTGGTAATAATATTTGCACTGTAATAACGTCCATTTGATTGTAATAAAACGGAAATACATATATAATAAGGTAGATAATGTTAACATATGATGAAAGGCGTTTTTGTTCAGGTGTATATTGGCTCCTACGCCATAGGCATGGGATCAATACCTTGGATCATTGCGTCAGAGGTATAAAAAAGATTCAAGCTTTTGAGGATTAAATTCATAATTAACACATATTTACATTGTCCTAAGTAGATATTTTTACATAATAAAAAAACCCGGGTTGCAGATTTACGCAATGGACGTAAAGGGTGCAGCAGGAACGATATGTAACATCGTAAGCGCCATAAGCTCGTGGATCGTCGCCTATTTCTTCAGCTTCTTGCTTCAATGGAGTTCGACTGGTAAATCTGAATCTAATTTATAAATGATCTTCTGGGTTATTCAAAAAAGATTAGTTGATTAGTGAAGGTGGGAAATATTATTGCAGGAACATTTCTCATCTTTGCCAGTGTGTGTGGTTTTGGAGTTGTTTTTACGGCAAAGCTGGTCCCGGAGACTAAAGGCAAATCCTTGGAAGAAATACAATCTCTTCTTTCTTCTCCTTCTCATTAATATCATATATATTAAAAGAAATGCAAAAAAAAAACATAGTTTTTTTTGTCTAATATGTCATTTTAAATTATTGAAGAAATATATAACATATAACGTGTCTTATTGGATAGTTAATAACTTAATATATATTGTAGTGTGTCGTGTATTACCAATGAAAGAAAATGTATCTGATTTGTGAGTAGTTCTTATTTTCAATAACGTGATTTCTGCATGTGTGTGTATATTTCATTTCCCCATTAATGGTTAGGTGGACTACCGTATCTTTTAGCATATTATATAGGCGATCCTTATGATTTCAGCAGACAGGCAACATGTTCTCTGTCTCTTCAGTCTGACTTCTCTCAGAAACCAACGATCTTCAAGTCAACGTTAATCACCCCTTCCAAAAATCCTGGTAAGTTCTTATCTAATCTCGTATTTCTTTCTTTTTTGGTAAAATAATCTCGTGTTTCCAAAGCAATTTTCCAATTTCTACAACAGAGATTTAGCCAAATCAATACATGAATATTGTATATGAAGTGATGATTACCATTTTGTTCAGTTCGATTGTGTAGAAAACCCAGGTGGTAACAATGGCGGATGAAGAAGGGTCATCATTGTTGTTATCATCTCCTCCGACAGAGACAGAGTCTTCTGTTTCTGGGTCTTCACTTGTGTCTGAAATATCAAATTCTGCAACCAGAGCTTTTGTCATAGGATTCACTTTCTCTGCATGTGGCGCCTTTGTCTATGGCTGCATCGTGAGTTCTATCTTTCCTTAATCTTCATTCTTTACCATTTAATTTCCAGTTTTGGATCACTTTATGAACAACACAAGAAATCAATGCAGTGTTTTATATGTTTTCTTGATCGGAATAATGTTTTTTTTTTGTGGATTTTAAGGTCGGATATTCAGCTCCTACACAGTCCAGTATCATGAAAGACTTGAATCTCTCTGTTGCTGATGTAAGTACAATACAATTATACGATAAGTTTATTTGAAAAGTAACATGTTCATATCATTACAAAAGGCTAAACCCTTTCTTGTCTGAATAATTTTTTTTTTGTTTGTCCTTAGTATTCATTCTTTGGATCCGTATTGACCATTGGGCAAATCATCGGAGCCGTTATGTGCGGGAAACTGGCAGATTTGGTCGGTCGTGTCTACGTAAGCATTTCAGTTCCTCACCATGCAACTTTTCATTACGTATATCATTATGTATGCAAATTTGTTCATAGTGATTGCACGATTTAACTTGTTCTTCGTATTTACTCTTACGTGATTCTCCTGAAACAGACGATGTTGATTACGAACACCCTTTATATAATCGGATGGCTCGCAATTGCATTTGCAAAGGTTTCTTCTACGTTATATGACATTCCATGTAACAATGATACATGCCTTTCTTAGGGCCCGATTCTGTAATTAATCTTATTTTTTGATTCATTATATATTTTCTTTTACGAGTAATAAAAGGATGCATGGCTGCTCAATCTTGGAAGGTTTCTGCATGGGATCACAATCGGGATCGCTTCATATTTGGTACGTCAAATCTGTACATGCAACGGATCTTGGAGATATAATAAAAACCCTAAATGCTGGCTTACAAAATTGCTGTCAATAGGGTCCGATTTACATTGCGGAAATAACACCAAGTAACCTCCGAGGAGCTGCCTCATCATTGTCTCAGGTAATAGAACATAAAATTAATTCGTTACAACATTGAGCTAATTAATTTCTATTAGCATTAATTCGTGATGATTATGTGATTCAGTTGTTCGCCACTGTCGGTATATCTGTCGTTTATGCTTTTGGAACAATTGTCCCTTGGCGTGGCCTAGCTCTTATGGGTACGTACCCTCACTTCTGTTTGATTTAACGTGCTATTAGTGTCGAATGTCAGACCAAATATCCGGATATATATAAGTATACTTTCATCACGTTTTACATTGTAGATCGGAGAGAATTTGCTCTATCCTTCATGAGAATGAGGATAAGACTAAACCTCTATTCTTGAATTAGTTTTTGTGGTAGAGTTAGGGTTCGTATTCATGTCAGATTTGGTTTCTAGAAAGAATGTGAAACTTGGATGAATTTTCTATTGTGTCTCGAGACAGGATCCGTGCCTTCTATTGTGACTTTGCCTCTTCTTGTCTTTGTCCCCGAGTCTCCGAGATGGCTGGTAAGTTTCATTTCATCCGATGTCTTTCTCTCTTTTTTTGTTTCTTTTTCATTTTGGCAAGTTTATGTCGACGGTTGTTGTTTTTCTAGCAAATATGGTCAAAATGGTCCGTATCATGATAATAATTCTCAATTCTTGATAGAGAACGCCAATCTTATGATTTTGCATAGGAGTTTATGCTTGTGTCATAGGGAATTTCCCTTCATCATTTTGCATAGGAGTTTTATGATTAATGATTTGAGAAAATGTTGAGATAACATTCAGAGAAGCCATTCAATAATTCTTGAACTTTTTCGACACATGCACTATATATGTAGACGGAAATTATACCGTGTAAACGTTCTTCAGGCGAAAATGGGGAGGCAAAAAGATCTCGAGGCAGTTCTATTGCGATTACGGGGAGCAAAAGTTGAAATCTCAGTCGAAGCAACTGAAATACTTGTAAAACCCTTTAAAACTCTAAACACAGAGAACCGAAACCGAAGGTTCAACCCATCGGATTTCGATCTATTATCGTGATTTTGTGAATGCCTTATATAATCTTACGTTTTCAGGAATATTCAGATCATGTCAAACAAGAACCAGAAGAAGGTTTCTTCAAGCTGTTTCAACAAAAATATGCATTTTCACTTATGGTAAACTTTCAAACAGTAACTTTTTAAAAAAAACTCTTTCTCTTCTCTTGATAGTCTCAGTTTATGAAAGGAACGTTGAAAACTTTCTGCAGATTGGAGTTGTGCTTATTGCATTGCCTGAGCTTGGAGGGCTCAGCGGTTTTACATTTTACACCGACTCGATTTTTACTGCTGCTGGTAAAAAAAAAGAACTTTTTTTTCCTCGTGGACACTTTTACTGCAATGGTGAAATAGATACAACAGTTTGATTTCAGGTATATCCAGCGATATCGGATTCATAACGACGTCTCTTGTTCAGGTTTTAGCGATGCATTTTCCTATACGAAAGTCGTATAAACATTCAATCCTTTTTTTTTTTTGGTAAAGATGGGTTCATATCGCCATGTAATACATAATGCAGATATTGACAGGCATTTTAGGTACTCTACTGGTTGACGTATCCGGAAGACGTTTACTTCTACTGGTAAAAATTTCTATAAACCCTGTTGAAATGTTCGGTTCAATTGCTAAACCAATCGGTTATTTCTTCTGTACCGGTAGAAAATTAACTATGCAATGTCTGAAAATGTTGCAGGTTTCTCAAGCTGGATCCTTTTTGGGTTGCCTTGTCATTGCCATCTCTTTCTTCTTGCAGGTATTTCTTCTAAACCCGTATTCGGTTCGTTTTCATCCGGTTTGACGAACAAACCGAACCATAACAATTCGGTTATCTACCGGTTTTCTGATGCTGTTGGCTTGCTCTTCAGGACCGGCATTTATGGGAAACAGGAGCACCTATTTTGGCCCTTGCTAGTGTTTTGGTAATAACCAATTTCCTTATTATTACTAAAACCTCTCGATTATTTGGACCATCCAATTTCATCGGAATGAAAAAAAAAAAATAATAATAATAATAATAATAATAATAAACGAGCAGGTGTATTTCGGATCGTATGGATTAGGCCTTGGAACGATACCTTGGATAATAGCGTCTGAGGTAAATTAATTCAAGTTTTGCAATGGAGAAAAATAAAATGATATGTATATAGATTAATAATAAAATTAAACCTAATTTCGTAATTAGATTTATCCGGTGGACGTAAAAGGAACAGCCGGTACAATATGTAACCTAGTCAGCTCCATAAGCGCATTGATCGTCGCCTATTTCTTCAGTTTCTTGCTTCAGTGGAGTTCCGCCGGTAATTTCAGTATATTTAATTTTATTATATGACTATTCACATTCATTTTCAGCAAATTTAATATATATATATATATATCTATATATATATAATATTATTATAATCATGTTCATTTTCAGGAACATTTATCATCTTTGCATGTGTGAGTGGTTTCGGAGTTGTATTTACAGCGAGGCTGGTTCCAGAGACAAGAGGCAGATCTTTGGAAGACATACAAACTCTTCTTACTCCATAAAAATCCAAATTAGGAATATGTGCTTTTTTTTATTTATTTATTAAAAATAATTCTGATTAATTTTTGTAAAAGAACTCGTCTCTATGATATCGGCTACCGTTGTAAATGGTAGATATCGTCATTTTGGGTACTATGATTATTCGGTTTTTATACCAAATTTGGTTCAGTTCCCGTTTAATTTTTTATTTAATTTTTTCGGTTAGGTTCGGATTCAATTTTTTCGAATTTAGAAACATCATAGTTATCAAATTCAGTTTGGTTATAATTATTTTTATTCGGGTGGTTGATAATAACCAAAACCCTAGTAAATTGTAACACCTAAAAAGCAAAAAAGAAAAAACGAAAAAAAAAAAACAAAGCTAAGGTTTTAGGCCCAACAAAGGCCCAATAAAGCCCATTATGTTTCTATAACCCAAACGAGAAACGCCATAGAAACGGAAAGTGAGAAGCGACGAGAGAAGAAAGCTAACGCAGCGAGAATATACGCATTGACAAAACATTTCACGTACCTTCGCACGTATATAAACACCTGGGCGTAGAGCGGCAAGCAACTGCGATTTTTTTTTAAAGGTTCGGAAGATCATTTCGCCGTCTCGTGGAGGTAATGTAATCGTTTCCCAGCTCGATTTTCTCGGGAACATGTTTATTTGATTTCTGGGTCTTGTTGATCATCTTAATGCGAATGGAATTTACGTTTCCTTTGGTCGATATTCGGAAGATTCTTCTGGTGTTTTCTTGTTTATTGCATTCGTTGAGATGATTGATTCGTTTGTTTGTGGGGCTTCCCTTATTTTGGGCATGGAATCACCCATCCGGGTTTGATCGAACATTTAGGGATTGCATCTCCATTTTATTGTTCCTTGAGCGCTACGTTTTGATTCGTCCTAGGGTTTTGGGTCACCATGGACACATTATCGAGCTAGTACTGGGTAGATGTTCTATGACTAATCCAGTATCGTTTGCCCATCTGGTTCTACAGAGATAGATAGATGTCTTTTGTTCTAGGTTATGTTGGTTTGTGGACAGATGGGCTCGTACTCGTAGCTCGTACTGTTGATTTGGATTGAAATACTTTTGAGCGCTGTTAATGAACTAGATCTTGTGTTGCTTTTTCGTGCCGCCGTTTCTTCTCGAAGAACTAGTGGATAATTTTGATCCATTTCTCTTTTGTGGCTCAAAGCATAGATGAAAAAAACTGGATCTTGAATTTCACAGGCAGGTTTATGAATGTCCTACACTTGCTTGTAGTCAGAGTAATCCAGTTGTAGTCTATACTTAGAATACGAGACGATGAAGACATGAAACTAAAGAGACTCTTGTTTTTAGTTTTTTCTAGGAGAATTTAGTGGGTTCGATTGTGGATCTAGAACAAAATTGAAAGAGAGGATACATTCCTGACAGAATTTTTCAAGATATGGACCCGATGAATAGAGACTCTGGTTCAACTCCTGCAACAGATCCTCCCGTGAAGCGGAAACGAGGTCGTCCCTCCAAAGATGAAAGCCTACACCAACAAGAGAAACCTGACAATATGAGCACTGATGATGCTGTTGACAACATGATGGGCCAGGTCGTTTCTGGCGTAGTTGAAGGTTCTTTTGACGCAGGGTATTTCATCAGCGTCAATGCCAAAGACACTGATAAGGAATTGAGGGGCATCGTGTTTATACCCGACAAAGTCACTCCGATCACCGCAGAAAATGACGTGGCTCCTCATGCCAAGATGTATGGAAGAGAAGAGATCGCTGTCCCTTCTACTCTGGACCACCAAACTCAGCCTCGGGAGCAAAGCGGTGGCTTGGACAACGTTAAGAACCAATCAGAATCTTGTATGGCATCTTGCCCTCATGATCAACCAATGAAAGACACAGGCACAGCCACTGATATGCAGATCAAAGACATTGGAGAAAAAGTTGCTTCAGTGCAGGTTCCAGAATATGAGGCCGGAAACCGGGCTCTGTCTCTGATGCCAGAGGCGGGCAATGGTGACTTCTCTAAACAGGATGAAGCTTCTGGGGGGAATGACAAATCAGAAACAGATACGACTCGATTTGTAGATTTCTTCCCCTCCCATGAAAAGACACAACAGCAAGCCATGGGTTCTGGTTCCGACCCCAGTCTTGTGTTGTTCCAGAATGAGACAAAGACATCAAGAACCGAGCAACAGAAATCTCCTGCATGTACTGAACCTCATGGATTCAATCTTTTGACAGAAAAGCCGGATACTGCCATGGAAAATGTGCCTGAGGGGCTTCAGCTAGAGCTCGGGAACAAGACCATGAGTGGAGCCAACATGGGCGGTAACACCCCCGAGGCAAATCCTCAACTGGCTGCATCAAAGAGCGGCTTCCTAATAAACCTGTTCGACGCAGCCAAACCAGAAGCTTCTGTTTCAGAGAGCGGTTTCATGGCGGCTCTCCAAGCAGATATCTCCACCAACAAGAACGTAGATTGCAACATGGAAGAAGAAGCTATTCCCAACGTGCCTGAGTGATGCCAGATCGGAGAGATCTCTCATTCTTTATGGTGAAATGTTAGAGAGAAGATAGTTGTAGGAATCTTGAATGAATTTTATTTGTTTTGAATTCATAGTTAGTCGTTTATGCATTTTCATTTGCTGATAATTGATGTTTTGGGCTAAACTCTTTCTCTAGTGGTGCAGTGATTATTTCCGGATAATCCAAATATTTTCAGCTACCAATGGACAAAATTTTTTTATTCAGCGAATTAGTTCATTTGCACGTTGAGTGAAATGAGCTAAAGAAAGAAAGCCATTTCATTTTGCGATTTGATTTGGTAAAGTTTCTTCCTTTTTTATTGGAAAAATGTAAAGTCTCTCCCTTTATTCTTCCAGGGTCCTTTCTCTCTCCTCCATCACACCGTCTCTCTCTCTCTCTAGACACACGCATACATCTAGCGTTCGAGTTCACTTCGTCGCCGATCTTTCTGTCTCGCCACTGGTAGGTCTCTCTCTCTCCCTCCCTCCTCTTCTTCTCCCGTGGCAAACTAGTGGTGTTGGGTTGGTAAATCCGGCCATTCCCGAACTAAGATTTCTCCGGCCAACAATGGGTTTTGAAGATCTCTTTCTTTAGCCCATTCCTGCAATCTGATCGCGCATTTTCAATTCTCAGAGTTAATGATTTACTTTTCTGATCGTTTCTGTCTCCGCCTTCTACAAGCGTAGCTGGAAAATTTTGTGGTGTTCATTCATTTTATATCCTTTCGTTCGTGGTGAGGTGAAATCGAACTTGGAATTTCCGACAACGATTGAAGATTTGGAGTGCATTGACCTGGTCAAGTGGTTTAGTTCTGTCATGCCTCGTTCTGGTGAACCCTTTGTAAATGGGGCCAATGTGTATATGAACTGTTAAACTTGTTTATATAGAAGCTACTACTGTCTTTGTTTTGCCTTCTGACATTGTTGATTGTCATGGTTTTCCTCATATACGTGTTAGGTTTAAGATTACACTGTCTTTGACAACAGTTTCCAAGATGGATATAATCTCTCAATTGCAAGAACAAGTCAATACGATTGCTGCTATTGCCTTCAATACTTTTGGCACTCTCCAAAGAGATGCACCTCCCGTTCGTCTCTCCCCTAACTATCCCGAGCCACCAGCCAACGCTACAGCCACGGATGATGCAACGGCTTTGGCAGAGCAACCAAAGGAGCTTGCTGCCACTTTAGTAAAGGCTGCTAAGCAGGTGGGTGGCCTTTGTTGTTGTCCTCATTGTATTTGGATGAAGGTGTTCTTTGTAGTTTTTGCAAGCTTTTCTAGTGAGTTTTGCCTTGGCATTGAGGGTTATCTTGAAACAAATTATGTCCATCTCTAGTTTAGAATCCTTGCATATATCATATGAAGCAGAAAGCAATCTGTAATTTACCATCTGGGCAATCTTCGTATCCGGGACATAACATTTGGAAACAGTTGCCCGTTTGTTCGATAAATTTTGATTGATCCATATTGTCTGGACTTTGATAATGTTAACTTGTTAGATGTCTGATCATTTTTCAGCATTGCCATTTTGACTTAGTATAGATGACATGTTACTCCTTTTTTGTGAAGTTTGATGCATTGGTTGCAGCACTTCCATTGTCTGAAGGGGGTGAGGAAGCTCAGCTGAAAAGGATTGCTGAACTTCAGGTACGAGTCATACACGTTCTGAGTTCCTCAATTCATGCTCCACGATCTAGTTTACCTCTTTTGTCTTAACAGTTTGCTGATTCCTTGTGTTGTCTCTTTCCAGGCGGAAAATGACGTCATTGGCCAAGAACTCCAAAAACAACTAGAGGCTGCAGGTGAAATTCCCAAGCCATTTTGCTGCTGCTTTATGTTGTTTGCGGTTGATCTGATACTGATTATGGTTCGCAGTTTTAAATGGTTCAGCTGTATATTGCAATTTGTCATCAGATACCATGTGCACATTCTCTAAGTCTACTGCCATAAAGAATCTTACGAGAATATCAGCATTGTCGGTTTATGTCATGAAACTGGTTAAATCCATAGACCGAGTTGCTTGTCTTTTATGTAAATGGTACAATTGTTGGGTTTGTTTTTTGTACATCAAAGGATTCTTCTATGCATCTATAGTTTGTTCGGGCTTTCTGGTTATCTGCTGTAAGAAAGGGAAGCTCCCAACTAGTAGAACTGGGAACATGGCTGCTGTTTGAACAAATTGAACTTGTTGTCGGGTCTAAGTGCTTGCTCTTAAACCTTTGTTGTTGGCAGAGAAGGAGCTGAAACAAGTCCAAGGGCTGTTTGGACAAGCTGCAGATAACTGCTTGAACCTGAAGAAACCCAATTGAAGTGCATTACCCTCTTTCAAGTTTAATCCTTTGTTTCTAACCTCATAGGATTTCTACTACTTTCAATAGGAAACCCGAGGATTTGGTCTGCTGAAAACTTCCATTTCAGTTTCCTATCCACAGTGTAAAATGGTATCAGTTCTTACCAAACAGTTGCACAGATATTGTCTTTCTGATGGAAAATTCATGTGTATAATAGTGGTAGCTCTTGCAGCAAAGGATGGCCTCTTTTACATCGTTTAAAAGAAAGGGTGAATAGTGAGGTTGTAATTGTGATCAGTACATAAAAAAGACACTTACTTTGGACCGTTCGATTAGAATCTAACGTCTCGTGTTAAATCATGTATAATAAACTTATCCTACTACCTACTGCACCATAACTTTCCCTGTTCTTGTGGACGTTGACTACTGTCGTCAAACGTATATCTATTCTATCAATCTTTTGTGTTTCTTACATCATTTGCGAATCGGACTCGCAGTTTCTGGAGTTCAGAAAGTTACCTCCTTCTGGAAGCTAAGGTTGTCTTAATCTAACCAGATCCATCACTTCGCTACAGCCATGGCGGTGTTTCTTTGTAAGTTCCGTCTTGTTTATGATTAGATTGTTTCTGAACCATTTTCGTATAAACCAGCTCAGATCTTAGTTCCCAATGCCGACACCATATCTGGGTTCTCAAATGAAGAAAAAGTTTAGATGATTTCCTCTTCGAATAGGTAAAGATCCTATCTTTACGTATCTGGGTTTTTACTGATAAGACGACTGTTGATGAATTGCAGGTCCAAGTGATTTTCCGGTAATGTACTAATGTGGCTACCAGCTTATCTGGGTTTGAGTCAGATCTAACTCTTGTGAAGTTTCAAGGATGGATTTGCACTTGGAGAGCTTGTTCGGTAGGTTCCAGGACCAATTCGGGTCGGGTCCGGGTCTGGGACCCGGATCTGGGGTTTGTCTGATGAAGGTTGAAGGCATATCTCCTACCATCGTCAAGTCTATATTTAGAGCTTCAGCTTCTCTGTACAGAACTGAGCCATGGAGGAGGCTCCGACCGGGTCATTTGTTTGGCGTTCGGGTCGGGAAAGACTCGGATTGGTCAGGCAAGAAACAGCCTTTCCCCTGTGTTCAGTTCATAGGAGGAGACGGTGGAGACATATCAATCTATATGTATAGATCCCGAAATGATGCAGAGAAAATGATAGAAGATCCGAGGGAAATGGCTCGGGTCCCGAAAGTCGAGGTCTTGAGGGTTACATATGAGCTCGAGTCATTGATGTTTCCTTCTAACAAGAAGATGATCAAGAGCCTGTCTTTAGAAGTTTCCGGAACTGATCGGTTCCCGGTTGTTGATGTTGCTCGGTGCACGGCCTCGGGTGAACTCCGGTTCAGAAACCCAACACTGGAAGAGCTGAGGTTTGTATATGCAGTCATGAAAGCTCTTTCATTGGTTCATCCATTGCTTCAAGAGGAGAAACAAGGTGGTCTTCGATGGCCGAGGATGATAAGCTTTGTACCGTTTATAGAGACGGTTGATGTTCAATGGCCCGTGGAGATGATCGTAAAGGGAAATGATTTCGTCGCTGTCACGGTTTCACACCCTCCTGGCCAATCATACGAGGAAAATCCGACATCCATGGTGGAAACTGAAGAAGATCGGTTAGAAACCATTACAGAAAGAGCATTACTTGATCTGGGATCTTCAGATACTGTCTCTAGAAAGTGTGCAATGTGTCTGAAAGCAATTCACAGAGATAAATCTCTTTGCTGCAGCCATTGCAGTGCAACGATCTACTGCAGTTCAGACTGCGAGAAGCGGCATTGGCGGGAGATTCACCGAAGTGTATGCAGTCTTTACAAAGCTATGATGGCTAAGGAAGAAGAGCTCGAGATAAAAATCTTTGCTTTCCCTTGTTTTGCCGAAAACCCGTGTGAATGGCTCGGATCGTTAGGTATCCACAAGAAGGGAATGTGGAGAAGGAAATGCCATTGCTACTCTCACTGGCCTTTCGGTCTCTTACCCTTTTCCTCGGATTCACTATATGAGTCATGGGGAGGGCTCAGAAACGAAGAGTACCCACAAGATTTACCGTTTCAGAATCAGGGCAACGGGATTGGACCAGGTCCTATCCTCTTGTCAGATTGGTCAGAATACTACAAACTTCGATCTTTGTCACCCTCGAGCCCAGTAGCCGACATTTTATCCCATCCATTAACCCTTTACCACATACTAACAACGCTGAGTGTGCATTCAAAGAATCTCTTGCTCAGAGGAAAAGAAGTGAACGTCCATTACTTGGGTCCAGAACCCGAGCTCGACTGGATTCAGGCATTCGCAGAGATTGGTCACTTGCTCAAAGGTACAGGAACAGTGAAGATAACGATGGTCGGACCAGAAGTTCCATCCGACATGTCTGGTACGACGCGATCAAGCAGCAATAGCAGCATAGTGAAGGTACACTTTGTGAAAGGGCTATACCAAGAGGAGGCGGCTTATCTGGCTTCACCAGACGTGGTCGTGGCCTTGAACTGCGATCTGGACGGGTTCTCTAGCTGGGAAGGAGCTCTTGAAGTGATGAACAAGATGGGTTTTTTGGGTTTCTTCACTAATAAAACCGAGGATTCTTGCAGGAACGCAAAGGCAAGCTTGAGAAGTGCAGGGATGGAGATATCTTATCCAGTTTGTCCGAACCCTTTCCGGTCACCGGTCAGAACTTTCGAAGGATCCAACAATCTTCCATGTTACAGTAATGCTTTCATCCTCGGAGTGAACACATGACAGATTCTCGTCTCCGTGTTTCTATCTTTTGAGCATGGACTTCACTTGGGGCAAGCCAAGATGTTTCAGTAGAAACTTCCTGTTGTTACATGTTTAGAACCACAGACTACGTGTCGTTTTCCTTGCGGAAAAACAACGAGACGTGCCAGGATGGCTCGAGGCCGTAATCAGAATAATATTCAGATAATTTAATATTATATTGCATGTGGTATTTCTAAGCGTTGCAACTTGCGAGCCTCATGTAATTAAAAATGTATTTTATAATCATAATATAATAAGTTACTGGCCGAAAATATCTTCATAGATATAACCAAGTGGCTCAAGTGGATCTCCCTCGTCTCTTCCATAAAAACCGGACCAAACCTTCAAAAAAAAAAAAGGGACGGATGGAGTTTCAGACATATCAGACATGGCCATGGCAGTATCTGCTGTCTTCTCCAAGTCTATATACTCAACAAGAAAACCATGTTCATTGGACTCAGACCCCTGATTCTCACCTCTTCTCTGTCGATCTCCCTGGTCAGTTAATTCTTATCTAAACAATTTTGCATTACTTTTTTTTTGGGATGCTGAAAAGTCATGAATTTTTTTTTGTCCTCAAATCCACAGTTCATCGAATTTTGGATCTATATGGAAATAATCAAAGTTGGAGACATTTTTGCAATGTTTACAGAAACTGGAGGACTCCTCTTGAAACGTTTAGTACTGCTCTGTTTTTTTTGTCTCAGGAGTGAGAAAAGAAGAGATTAAAGTGGAGATCGAAGACTCGAGATACTTGATCATACGGACGGAGACTGCGGGGGGGTCGCTCGAACCGCCGGCGAAGAGCTTCCGGAGGAAATTCCGGCTACCGGAATCAATAGATATCGCCGGAATATCAGCTGGGTATGACAGCGGAGTTTTAACGGTGACTGTTCCGAGGGCTTTCAGGAGAAGAAGACATTTCTTCATCGATCCGTCTGATGTTCCTGAGAGGCTGGAAATTCTTGCAAGAGCTGCTTGAGTGTTCTGTTCTTCCATCTCCATCCCACAACTGACGTTCTTGTCTGAAAAAGATTCCATCTTTGTTACTGGTGAACCATTAACGTCATAAAGTTTTCACCTTTGTTCACAAAATCTCATGTGCAAGTATGGCGACTGTTGATTTGGGGTGCAGATTGATAGTTTTAGAAATGTGGGGTCATATAATCAGAATGCGAATCTCTGGGGGCTGTTACGGAAAGAGTACGAATCAGTAACTACTGTCTATCGAAGTTCGGTCTAATGATAAGACGATCAAAGAACATGTTCATCTCATGAACTTGAACAGACTGTCAATCTGTCTTTAATCTTGTGAGAGAACTCAGAATGAGATTGTGGATTGTTCCTGAACTTGCCAAAACACCACCGATATTTTACATTAACTATGAATGTAACTTTTTTTTCCTGCTACAACTTTGAAACCTAGTAAATATCACTTAGAAAATAGGGCATTGATCTCCTCTTCATGTATTCTGCCGGGCGTATTATGAACAGGAGTTCTCAAGTATTTCCTGCCGTCATCTGCATTAGTAGTGGGAATCAAGGAGCCTCAGCCGAGGCTTTGCCGCTTGCACCGCCCTTCGATTGATTGGGCACGCTTCTCCTTGTAGTCTTTCATCGCTGCCTTGATGACGTCCTCTGCGAGCATACTACAATGCAGTTTAACCGGTGGAAGCGAAAGATGCTTTGCGATTTCCCTGGAAAAAACATCCACAAAGGTAAATCCCTTTCTTTTTTATTTTAGGACTGCAGCCAGTTCGGTCCATATAACTAGATTCGAATCTGAAAATATCCATGGTAGTTATTGAATTTGCATATGACTCCCGCTAACCAACATAATTAGATTCAATCAACAGAAAAGATTGAGCCCAAAGACATTTCCCTAGGAGATATACATTCAGAAAAAACCAACTTATCCGGCATTATGGGATCATGTCAGGAACTACAGTTAGACTACATGGAGGAAACAGCTATCATTTTACAATCTGATGCAGCAATCGTAACCACAAATGCTCAAGGGGAGAAACGACCAATGAACTCCTGAATGCTTAAACCCACAATCAGGGTAAGTTTTCAGTCTAGGAAATCAGAATTCTGGTTACCATTGAAATCTCATCACTCATCAAGAGCAAAGGAGAAGAACAAGAACACACACGATGTAAAAGATCCTTCTACACCCGACAAGAACCTCCATTGAGGATGAAATCCATCAAGAAAAGCTTATATGAAACATCATTAACAGTTGAAACTAATACGGCCACACACCAAAACATAACAAATCTAAAAAATGTACCTTGTCTTGTGGGAGAGGATCAAACTTCAAAGTATGAACCAACCCCTGAACTGGTCTTCATCTTCCTGGCCATGTACCCATCTAACTACAAAATGGAAGGCCATATAAGGAGACTGAACACAGAAGGTTTTTACTGCAATGTATTTCTTCTGGGACAAGGAAAATGCAAAAGCATGAATACCCAGTCCGTTGATCCAGAAATATTATATCATTTGAGATTATCCTGAAAAAGAAAATCTGTAAAATGGTAATCACTACCAGCCGAAGAACTATGAAGATTCCCAATCCATGTTCTTCATACTTTTCCATTTTTCCCCTTGAGAAACAAGGGAAAGACAAATCACAATTCACAAAGACAGTACACTGATACTTACCATGAAACCACTGGACCGGAGATTAGTCGTCCCATTGATATCGAATTCGGCAGCTTTACGAAACTTCCCAAAATCCCGCCACTTCCTCTGCCTCTATCTTCCTCATTTGACTCGACGCGAACCACATTCACCGCGTCCGGCTCCACCACCGACACCGACCCGGATCCTAGCTGTCTCTGAAACTTCGTACTGCTCCGAATTCGATGCAATTGCAGGTTTAAGGCCTCGATATTCATCAAGACGACGCCGTTTCCACGCAAATACAGTGGCGTCGCCGAATGGAGCAGCTTCCGAGGAGGAAACGACAAGAAGAGAGGACCGTGAAGAGGGACGAACCATTTCGAGAGCGGAGAAACGCGATAACAGCGGTGAGAACGCCGGCGGCGGCTGTGAAGAAATGTCTGACCTTCCCAGAATTCGTCGAAACCATTTCTCAGAGATCTTTGGATCTCCTGAAGACGAATCCTTCAGCTCTAGAGCATCCTTTCCCGAGTTCGCATGTAGAATGCATGCAGTCTTTTACGTATCTGCCCGTGTACTGATTAATGCCTACGAAATCCAATCCGATCCCGAGATTTCTCAGATCCTCGTTGGAGAATTCGGGCAGATCTTCTCCAAGAATTTCTTCCATTTCTTTCGGATATCTTCCGAACACAATAGGGTCCAAGATCCTGGGTGTTTTTTTGCTCATGGATCAAGATCTTGTCTTCAAACTAAAGTTAGGTTATCGGTTCGGTTTAAGGTAAACTGGAAAAATCATACAAAATCGGTTCCGGTTTATCAACTGATCTTACCATGCGAAGAAGAAAGCTTGATCTCTCAACCGGTGAGTCACCGACCGCTTCAAACCAAACCGCGTGCATGACAATTCCGATTTTTCCTTTTTGCGATCGGAATCTGTTCGCTTTCTTCCTTCGACCCGGGAAGGAGAAGACAAATCGGAGTCGACTAGGGTTTTGTGTGGGACCGACTTGTGCCACGTGGAAGCACGCGGCAATACATCGGCAAGATGGCAAACCGAAATGTTTTAACCGAACCGAAATCGAATTAGGAACACAGCTTTGACCCTTCGAATTGAAATATCGGTTTAGTGAAGATCCGAACTAATATAATATATACACCGGAAAATGAAGAAAAATAAACAAAAACGTTTCATAATGCAAAATTAAAAGAGAAAAAGAGACTCGAATACACATGTTCTTGCCCATATCTGTCCTTTACGTATAACCCTTTTGGTCATTCTTCAAGATCCTGTAACTGAAACCCGAAATCCGATTCTCGCCGGAAACCTCCGCCGAAGAGCACATGGTCGGCAAGAACCCGTCGCCGGAGCTCCGCCGCTTCTTCCTCCTCCATCTGGTTTTTGAGAACCAAGAACTTAGCTTTGTCCGGCCTGTCGGAAGATGATTATCGCTGTCGAAGTTTCCATTCGGAATGCAGTTTCGTTGATCGAAGGTTCGGAAATAATCGATCTCTTTGCGAACGAGCGATCCGACAGTGCCTCGTGTCCCGACGGCGACCGGAGCAGCGGCCGATGCTGCGGCCATTGGTGTTTCTTGGTGAGAGGAGCTTTGGAAGTGACGTATGAGATGCTTGAGCATGAAGCAAATAGAAGAAAAGAAAAAGTACTTATTTATATAGTGTTTAATTTTTATTGTTTATTGTTTATATATGGATCTCTAATAATCATCTTTCGTTTTTAAAATTTAAAAAAAAATGGTAATTCAGAGGTCTTGATGTTTTTAGCAGTGACGAAGGAACAAATGTAATGATGGTGAATAATGACGCAAGGTTGTTGGGCAAAGGACAAAATAATATTCGGTTTCAACTTATTATTATAATGATATTATTATTATTGTTAGCACTACTACTTTTTAATATTTCAAGTGGTCCAAATACGTAGCCAAAAAAATTGTAACAAATATTTTATATTCGATAATATAATAGAAATCTGAAGATACAATCGTTTTGTATGAATTGTATCAAGATCATCGAGTTCATATATATCCTGCGATTTTCGCATTTTCTTGTTTATGGAACGGTAGGTGAAATGCGAGTTATCTATATAACTTATAATTTAGAATATGCTTTTTTTTTTTTATATATTCCACTAAGTGTAGGGAGTCCATATGTTCCCACATTCTATATCAAAAGCACTTACAAAAGGTGGATGCAACACTCATCACCACTTTTATAAACTTTTTATTTATAGAATGGTGAATTACTTTTCCTCCTTTCATGCCATGGATGGATGGATTACATAGAAACTTAAAAAATGAAACATTTATTTCCAATAAACAATCCCAAGGTACGTTATGATTGAGGTATATATTAAATTCCATTTACATATAAGAATGAGGGGACATAATAATTTCAATCAAACCAACTTTACATGGAAATTTCCTTATTAATTATTAATCCCACATCATTTTCTAATTAATCTCGCTTCTTTTTTGGGATTTAGCTTCATATGAAGTCTTTAGTAGTCTTTGCCCTGTGATTGGCGATGAAGTTCTTGAACCAATAAGCCGACAATCTCGGCGTCCTCTTCTGAGTAGTGAAATCTACGTGGTAGAGACCGAACATGGTCGTATAACCGTGTATCCATTCGAAGTTGTCTAGTAACGACCACGCGAAATACCCTCTTACGTCTGCTCCTCTCCTGTTACATATATATATCCACAACGTTTCAGAACTTGATATTAATACTTTGTATCCATAAGTTTAACCTAGAGTTTGTTAATGTATTATATATGTCTAATATAATATAATGTATACATATACTTAGAAGAACACACATAAAATTCATCTTTGTTCAACGGGGGAATTTGAAGGGTCAAATGGTAATCAAATTAAATGTATGATCTAACACAAGTTATGGTAATTTTAGTAAATTAATGGATGATCATGACCAGGATTTCAGCAAGCAAATTCTGGTATAGTAAGCCATGATCATCCATTAATTTACTAAAATTACCATAACTTTTGTTAGATCATACATTTAGGTATGTATTGGTTCTCCAAGTCGGAAAGCCGTCTCTTAGAGCGTTGTTGAAGACGAATCCTTCAGCTCTAGAGCATCCTTTCCCGAGTTCGCATGTAGAATGCATGCAGTCTTTTACGTATCTGCCCGTGTACTGATTAATGCCTACGAAATCCAATCCGATCCCGAGATTTCTCAGATCCTCGTTGGAGAATTCGGGCAGATCTTCTCCAAGAATTTCTTCCATTTCTTTCGGATATCTTCCGAACACAATAGGGTCCAAGATCCTGGGTGTTTTTTTGCTCATGGATCAAGATCTTGTCTTCAAACTAAAGTTAGGTTATCGGTTCGGTTTAAGGTAAACTGGAAAAATCATACAAAATCGGTTCCGGTTTATCAACTGATCTTACCATGCGAAGAAGAAAGCTTGATCTCTCAACCGGTGAGTCACCGACCGCTTCAAACCAAACCGCGTGCATGACAATACCGATTTTTCCTTTTTGCTCCCTCTAGAAAAACCATTTATTTAAATTTTACTTGGCCAAAAATGAATAAATTTCGGGTCTTTTTGAACATACCTGATACTTGGTCCGGTAGATATTGACAGCCGCAAAATGCGAGCGGATAATGTTGTGGGCTGCGATGAAAGGTTCGGTCTCGGAGTCGCCACGTGTGCAATTTCCGAAAGGCTGGGAACACTGTCCAGGTGGTAACCGAAGATAACTTGAATGTTTGGTTCGTTGAATGTCGCCCATAGTTTTATTCTGTCACCAAAGTGATTGAAGCAAATTAATATCCGCGTAATGTTCGAATTCTTCACTGTAAACGCCGGCATGGTAAGCTTTTCCGGCTGTCATGTCCATACAATTTTGCTGTGCACAATCTCTGAATGCATTTTTAGGCAATAATTTTCATCCAGCAGATAAACCCGTGCGTTGTTTTTTCAGGGTGATATGGAAGAGGGCAGTCAAAGAAAAAACACTTCTAATGGAGGCTGGGCATCTACCCGCCTCTTCTTCCTGGATTCTTGTACATTTCCTGGTCCTGAAACTGTACCATGGAAACAGAGGTTTCCTTCTAACCATATTCCATGCCTCTAAAACCCTATTACTGAGTTAAGAACATGGAGTGTTCCGAAACTTTCTTGCTAGTTATTTCCCGAGTGGTCGGATTGTTGCCCTGTGTGTCTATTTGTTGCATCTGTGTTTTTTAGATATTTGCAGGGGGAAGAAGAAGCTCAGTAGAAGTGTCTATGAACAGGCATCTCGTGGAAACCAAAACCAGTTCAAGAGTTTTCTTATAGACCCCCTCCCCGTCCCAACAATCTGAGGTTGTTTCAGGTTTTAACATAGTGAGGGCACATTTAACACAGTTTCATACATACGTACGTACATGTACATGCATGCATGCAGGCATACATGCATGCTTGTATACATGCAAGCATGTGTAAGTGCCACCAAAAGGCTACAAAAAGGGCACATACACTAGGCGAATAAACGAACAGAGAATGTCATCAACAACAACAACGTTAGTTCAACGGTTACGAATAGCCAAAACAAAAATCCTAAAATCGCCGCTAAAGTAGTAGTTGAAAAAGCCTTACAAGACAAGAGATGGCCGCAAAAAAAAAAAACATCAAAGAAAAAGGGGAACAACATCATCATCATCTCAAGTGAATCCAGCAGAAGTCAATACCCGAACCTCTTTGCCCTTCTTTCTCAGCCCGGAGAGAGGGTTCTCTCTCTTTCACGCCGGCCAAATCAAGAAATCTACGCATGAAGGTGCGTTCTTGACTTCCTTTGGAGCAATATACTCATATATATATATATATATATATATCATGAAGCTTGATACCCATTTTCTTTACTCTTGCATGTTCTTGGTTCTGCAACAATCACAAAACAAATGATCTCTTCACTACTCAAGAAAGCTCAGCAAAAAGAATGCATCTTGACGATATAAGACCACGATTCACGAATTCTTCCCCTTCTGGTTGATCTTTGCATTCACGTAAACATCAAGTAACCGAGCAAAATCATCGCGTGCTTGTAACCTGAAAACGTTCTTTCGATGTTAAACATCTGACCGTACCTGAACAAACCGCAACTCCATAGTTCAGGCGCCATCGCAGGCAACAGCAGCTTTAATCCGCTCCACCGTGCATTTTATCAGACTGTTGACTGTAGCCACTGACCCGAGAGAGAGCTTAGCAGTGGGGACAGAATCAACAAGAATCTGAAACGCAACGGTCAGAAGCGAACCACAAACACGAGAAGAATCAACTTCTTGATTCCCCTCTCCTCCTCCTCCTGATCCATCCGGCAGAATTGCAAACCCCGACGGCAACAATGCCACGTAATCAGGGTCACCCCCACTCAGCACTACGTTCATGGCCACTATGTCCACCGGCGCGTAGATCACGTACGATCCTGTCGCGTCCGCACAGCTCTCTTGCAGGATCAACATGTTGCTCTGGCTAGAGTTCCCACTCTGTTTCATCATCAAAACACCAAGACAAAGTTCGAATCTTTATGCCCAGAAACAAGGAAGAGATCGATGGTTATCTTAAAATCTACAGAAGGCAAGAAATTACTCGAAAAAACGAAGCGGACATTTCGATTTTCAAAGCAAACGGGAAGAAGAAACTCCAAATTCTTACATTGACTCGTAGCAGGGAGACGCAGTTTCCAGGATCACGACCATTGGCGATATGAGCCATCTCTTGAACAAGCCCTCCGTTCGAAAGTATATCCCACTGCGAAATCAAAACAAAATTTCACCAAAAACAATCACTTGACCCGACACAATTCCCATCATAGAACCCTAGCAAAAGAAATTGGTTCGAAATTCGAGTACCTCGCTTCTGGAATTTTCGTCGCGGAGGAAATCGAAGATCCGTTTCGGCGAGACAGGGATCCAGAACGAAGTTGCGGCGCTAAGGACAATGCCCGGAGGCCTTCCTGGGTCATCCATGCTCTTCCGAGTCATGACCCGGA